TCCTGCATCAACAGTTTTCGTTACTTTGTTGTGTTTATTGATGACTTTAGTCGATAGACTTAGCTTTATCTTATGAAAACCAAAGATAAAGTTCATTCCATTTTTAAAACCTTTCATAGGATGGTATGTACTCAGTTTAGTTGTCCCCTCAAAATCCTTCGATCTGATAATGGAGGAGAGTTTATGTATGGTGGGCTTGCCTCCTTTTTTGTTGCTAATGGGATTGCCCATCAAACCTCTTGTGTCGATACACCACAACAGAACGGCGTAGCTGAAAGAAAACACCATCATATTACAGAGGTGACCCGTTCTCTTCTAATTGGGATGGGAGTGCCTAAAAGTTATTGGGCTAATGCAACCTTTACAGCTACATACCTTATCAATCGCATGCTTTCTAAGGTTCTTAGCTATCAATCCCCCTTCTCTGTCTTACACCATGACACTGCCTTGTGTACTGTCCCTCCGATAGTGTTTGGTTGTGTTTGTTATGTTCACATTCATCATCGCAACGACAAAATGGACCCTAAGGCAATCCGATGTGTCTTCATTGGATACTTCGCCACTCAGAAAGGGTATCGGCGTTATAACCCTACCATTCATCGTCGCTTTATCTCCATGCATGTTACATTCTTTAAATTTGTTCCTTTTTTTTCCACTACTCGGGATTCTCTACAGGGAGAGAATCCGTTATCCATTCAGAGGGAACGCCCCCTTCTTTTGCCTGCTCCCATTCAGGGGGAGTTTCTTACTGAGGTGCCTATGTCTAGTCCTCCAAACACTACTGATTTACAACAGGGAAAGCAGCCAATTGTCTATACTAGAAGGGCAAAACAAGTCATTGACTCACCCAAGGACTAAGAAGTCTCCCTCGATCCAGGTAATTCCTTAGTTGACATTGATACTCTTGATTCTTTTCCCAATAGCATTCCTGTTGATCTTAATGTCCCTATTGCCTATCGTAAGGGTGTTCATAGTTGTACAAACCATCACATATCTCAATTTGTATCCTATGATGCCTTATCTCTAACATATCGTGCTTTCACTTCATGTATCTCCTCTGTATCTATTCCTTCTAGTGTTTCAAATGTTCTCAGTTAAACTCCATGGAAGAAGGCCATACAAGAAATTAAGGCCCTTGAGAAGAATGGTACTTGGGATATTATTCCATTACCTAGGGGTAAGAGACCAGTAGGTTGCAAATGGGTCTACACAATAAAGCATCATGAAGACGGAACAATTGAGAGATATAAAGCTCAGTTAGTTGCAAAGGGTTTTACTCAGACCTATGAATTGATTATCTGGAAACATTTGCTCAAGTTGCCAAGATCTATGTTACCTGGACTCAGGTGCGGGTGTCGGACACGGGTGCATGTCCAAAGGTCGGATCCATCCATCTATCGAATTATAGGACACGGGGACACGGAATAAAAGTGTCCAAAAGTTGGACACGGACACTTGGACACTTGTAGGAAAAGAAAAAAATGTACCCTTTTTTATGCTAGACCTCAGTTTTTTAATGAAAAATTGAATAAATATATAAATGTAAAGATAGCAGCGTGGAGCCTTCCAAGCTCTATTTTTTTGTGATGCAGGTTTTCTTTTTTTGCTCTGTTGTTGCACTTGTACCTGTTCTTACAGTTGTGGATGCAACTGCAATGTGCTCCTGTGTGGGCCTGTTTTAGTTTTGTTTTTCTGGGCTGCCTTTGGGCTAGGCCTTTCCTTGTACAGTTTCTTTTTTTTAATGAATGGATTTACTGTAAAAAAAAAAAAAAAAAAAAAAAGGTAATACAACTATTATAATAATATTACCTTATTTATAAAGTCAAACTATCAGGTCAAAAAATTTGCTCGAGATTGACCGATAGATATTACTTAAATAAAATAATACAGCTGTCCCAATACAGTTGTAAATTGTTCATAGCTTGGATAGTGTTTTACAGCTGTAAAACATTATCCTTGTTAAAAGACCAAACTCTCCCATATTTTTACATCCAAATTGACAAGTGGCATGATTGTGACCGTTGAAGGGTATTAAAAGCATTAGTAAGAATGTGAAAACACGCTCGGCTGTTACAAAATTTTGTGTAAACCAAAGCGCGTACACTTCAGCCTTCTCTAACCTTCGAAAGACGCTACTTTTGAAGCAAACCGCCATTGTTGTACCAGTAAGTTTTCTGATCTCATTAATGGCAACCTATTTAACAAATAAAGCATGAAGAAAGTTCGCAATCCTTCACAACTACCAACCCAAACATCTTTGTTTGAGTTTTCGTCATCTATCAGCCGTGGCCGGTAGACGCCATGAAGGATCCGACTCAGATCCAGTGTCCGTATCCGTGTCGTGTCGTGTCGACACGGACACTTCGGCCTGAACAGGCGAGTCCAGGTAACACAGGCCAAGATGAACTCTATACGTGTTCTTCTTTTTTTGGCAGCTAATTTGAATTGGCCCTTACATCAGCTAGATGTAAAAAATGCTTTCGTTCATGGTGACTTGGAAGAAGAGGTGTATATGACTATGCCACCAGGGTCTAAGCTCGCCAATGGTCAAAATTTAGTGTGCAAGCTAAAATAAAGCCTTGTATGGGTTAAAGCAATCGCCACGTGCTTGGTTTGAGAGGTTCAGCATTGCTGTGAAAAGAGTATGGTACACACAGAGTCGGGCAGATCATACTCTCTTCATCAAGAAGCACCAGGGTTGCACCACTACCCTTATTGTATATGTTGATGATATTGTTATCACTGGAAATGATCCAGAAGAGATTTGTCGGATGAAGTCATTCTTGGGGACAGAGTTCGAGGTTAAAGACCTCGGATCATTGAGATACTTTCTTGGCATCGAGGTGTGCAAATCAAAGAAAGGGGTGTTCATTTCTCAACGGAAGTATATGTTAGATTTGTTGGCTGAAACATGCAGGCTTGGAGCTAGACCTATTGATATTCCCATTAAGCAAAACCATAGGCTTAATGATGTAAATGGAGACCCACTAGATGATGTGGGAAGATTTCAGCGATTGTTTGGGAGACTGATTTACTTATCTCTCACGCACTCGGATATTGCCTACGTTGTTAGTGTGATTAGTCAGTTTATGCATGCTCCACGTGCACCTCACCTTAAGGCAGCTCATCATGTCTTCGCCACCTCAAGGGTTCACTTAGTAAGAGGATATTGTTTGGCAGTCATAGCCACTTGCGTGTTGAAGCCAATACTGATGCTGATTGGGTAGGGTCTGTGACGGATCAACAATCTACTTCAGGATATTGCACATTTGTTAGAGGTAATCTGGTTTCATGGCGAAGCAAGAAACAATCTGTAGTAGCAAGACCTAGTGCAGAGGCTTAGTTCAGATCCATAGCACATGGAGTTTGTGAGTTGTTATGGCTACGTACGATGTTGGGTGAGTAGGGTTATCCTGTTCGCAAGTCAATGAAGTTGTATTGTGACAACAAGACTACTATTAGCATTGCCCACAATCTAGTTCAACATGACAGGACAAAGCACATTGAAGTCGATCGACACTTCATCAAGGAAAAGCTTCGTCTTGGGCTGATTTGTACTCCATACGTCAACACACATGATCAGGTTGCTGATATTTTGATTAAGGGTGTGAGCAAGACTTGCTTACAAAATATGTTAGTCAAGCTAGGTATGATAGATATCTTTGCACCAGCTTGAAGGGGAGTGTTGTCAGGGGCTTATTTGTTATTACTTATATAATGTTGGGGCTTATGTGTAATTTCTAAAACTTGTTATTATAAATAGAATGTGGTGGAAGGATGAAAGTATTCTTTCATTTGTTCTCTCTTTCCCCATCTCTCTCTTTTTCTCTCATCGGCTTTCTTCTCTTTTTCTTCTTTTTCTTTATCACTTACTCTTGATTCGATTATATCTTAAAGTCAACAGCTGGGTCAGGGCCTTTTATCACGGCCTTTTATCACACGGGAACGGAGAGAAGAAGAACGTCCCTCAACTAAGCCAGAAATAATTATTTGACTTCGTTAAAAAAACCCTATTTTTCTATGACTACATTCTTTATATAAATAAATAACAGAAGGGAATAGCTAGGGCAATGTTAGGGCTTACTTTGCATTCATATTGCTTATGCTTTCTAGTAATCCTTTGATTACTATGATTTATGTTTTTGCATCCATCATCATACATCTAGCATGATGAGTGAATCAATTGGTCGTTGAATCATTTGTTGCTGCACTCATAGGATTTCAACAACAAAGCAAGGAGATAGAAAAATCCAGGGTGAAGCAGAGTTCATTAGTTAACAAAGCCTGTCAACGAATCAGCAATAGGAGGATCTGGAGTTGATCTTGCGTAAGTCTGAGTCGGGAGAGATTAAGGGATCCTTGGTCTTAGAGTCCCTTTGACTTAATATGTAGTAACTTCTTTCTATAAGGTGGATTTTATCTATCGGGACAGGGCTTTTTTTTTAACTTAAAATATGGTGTTTTGTGTGTGGTTGGTTGATTTACTTTACTGATTTTATTTTTGTTGCATGCATGATAAACACAATGGTTGATTGATATTGATCAGAGTTTAAGGTTACGGCCTATTAGTTTTCTAAAATGATGTTCTTGATTGGGTGGTTATTTATAATTAAACTACTACAGCATTTATGGTCTATCAGTTTTCTAAAGTGAAGTTCTTGATTTTGGGTGGCAATTTATAATTAAACAACTACAGCATTTACGATCTATTAGTTTTCTAAAGTGAAGTTCTAGATTTTGGGTCGCAATTTATAATTAAAAAACTACAGCATTTACGGTCTATTAGTTTTCTAAAGTGAAGTTCTTGATTTTGGGTGGCAATTTATAATTAAAATACTACAACATACAGAAACCCAATGAATAATTTTGCTCTTGCTTGTTCATAATATTTCTGCAACAAGATGGCATGAACCCAGTATTCCAAATTACTATAAATCAATACTCCAACCCTCTACTTAACAGTTAGAGAACCAAACTAGAACGAATCACAGAAGACTTACAAAGATAAGCCACACGAGGCTCTTCAAATTCAATCTGATTCGCAACACGAAGAAACCGTTGAATCTCCGAAACCAATGTCACCGGCAACTTCTCACTGTCAAAAGGATCGGGCACGGGATCGACGCCGGAAGTGATTGATCTTGTATAGGGCCCAGAATTAGTACTGTTATACTCTCTTCTTCTGTTACTACTCCTACCTTCATCAATGGGTTCTGCAACAACGATCTCTGACGACATTGTTGAGAACTCGAAAAGCTGGAGTATGCAGAGAAATAGTGCATGGTTGTGTGCGCGTGTGTATATATATAGGATCTTGAAAGTATATACATCGTTGTGATTGTAGGATCTGCTTTCTTTCTTTTGGGCGCTTTTTGGTGAATGAAAAAGAGATTGATGGTGTGATCTTTTGCTTTTGCTTTTCAAGTGTGTGTGTGTGTGACTGTAAGGTGTTTGTTTTCTTTTTCTCTCTCTGGTACAAGAGAAGGAAGTGAGATAGAAGGTGGGAAGGGTTTTTGGACTGTTGAATATAAAGCGAACATGGAGGCTCTCTTTTGAAGGTGTGATGAGCGGTTTTTTATTGTTAGAAAACTAACAATTATATGCACTAATAATACGTGTTAGACCCTAGGGTTTTACTGTTTTTTTTTTAGGAGAAAGATAGACGGACAATAATGAGGCCAGAAGCACTTCAAAATGTCGGGGTTTAGGCCCTAGGGTTTTAATTTGTTGATGGAGAGGAAAACAAATTCAGAGAACTAAAAAAGTTCCCAACAAAAAGGTAAATGGATGCAATAATATAATATAATATAAAAAATAAATTATATGGAGATGGAACCCAAATTTGAGAAAAATCATCCCTGGTTTTGTTTTCAAAAATCAGAAAACAAAATATTGGCATTCTAACACACACACGCACACACATATATATATACTTTTTATTAATTGTGAGAGGAAAGCAACATACTTTATTAATTCAGCCTAATATTCAATAAAAGAATGGGTTAAAATCATTAAAATCCATCTAATATCAAAATCGTGCATAAAATCCCAGCAGAAATTAAAAATAATAATAAAAAATAAAATTATGAATTAACAAAACTTATAAAGGTATCCAAACCCAAAACTGTTAAATGGGTTGTGAAATGTCACTATTTAATATTAAATTAAAAGTTGTAACTAGTATTTTAAAATTACAAAAATAATATTGGGTGAGAAATAGGTCATCAATCTAGTGAGATAACAACCCAATCAACATTAAATAATATTATTATAAAGGGATATTTTTGTAATTTTAAAATAATAATTATAACTTTTAATTTAATATTAAATAGTAAGGTCAAATTTGACATTTCACAACCTATTTAACGGGTCGGTCATCGGTTCGGGAGTAACTTGATAAATTTTGTTAGTTTATGGAATTTTTTAATTCTACCGGAATTTTATGGTCAATTTTGAAAGTAAAGAGGTTTTTATGATTTTAATCCTAAAAGAATTCAAAATTTGGCATTTTTAGTTGAATATTTAAATTTCAAAAAATTATATATCTTTCCAATTTGAATTATGCTGTGTTTGAAGGGAGGGAGGGATGGATGAGAGAGGGAATAAAATACCTTTTCCATGTTTGGTTGGAGGGAACGAGGAAGCAAGGATAGCATCCCTCCCTCCTTTGTATTTTTCTATCCACCCAAAATAGGAAGTAAGAGGAGAGAGCAAAAAGTAATAACTAAGACAAATATATATATTTTAGTTTTAAACTTCCTAAAATTTTGGAATAGATAAAGAATTTTTAGAATTTTAAGTAATAAGGGTATATTAGTAAAAATAATATAAAAATCTTTTTTTCCTTCCTTCCAACCAAACAAAAAAATGTGTTACCATATCCATCATTTCTATTATTCATTCCATCCAACCAAACAAAAAGTGATTTGAGAAACACCTTTCTCTCCCTAAGAATGCCTCATCCATCCCATCCCTTCCATCTATTTTTTCATTTTTCCAACCAAACATAGCATTAATGTTTAGAACAAATATGATCCAAGTGGTTCAGAAAGTTGAGTAGAAAGTTGACCCTCATTTTAAACAAAAAAAAAAAAAAAATTGACTCAAATTACATCTTATTAAATCTGAACCCAACAAAGTAATGCAGCTCAAATAAACTTAAAAGTTGGGAAAGAAGCCATTCCTTTATGGTTGCCCTCGTTTTCAAAATACTTGTTGCCCATTACTTGGGCTTCCAACAAATTTAGAAAACATAAAAGTAGAAAAGCAAAGCATAAATAAAATTATAATAACTCTCTACTGTCAAGGAATGCAAAGACAGGAAGCAAAGGGAAAAAAACACGCTCAATATTTATGGGTCCAAATATTTAGAGTGGACTGGGAAGCTTTTGCATGCAATCACCTTTAATATATATATATATATAATATTTGAAAAGATTGGCAATTTCGTGGTTGTTTACTCCTGAGTGCGCATGAGTCATCAACTTTATCTTTTGGAAGTTTGATAGAACTTGATAGGACTCTTATAATTTTATTGACCAGATTTAAATGAACGTGGTAATAAACCAAACCATTAAAGGTAATGCAACAAAGGAGTATATACAAAAAAAAAAAAAAAAAAAAAAAAAAAAAAAAAAATGATCATACTTAATTTCCCAAAAAAATAAAAAATGATCATTCTTTGCTTTTAATTTTGGTAATAAGAATGTAATAAACGAAAAAAATGATCATACTTAATTTCCCAAAAAAAATAAAAAATGATCATACTGTGCTTATAATTTTGGTAATAAGAATGTAATAGACTAGGCCAATTATATATATATATATAACAAAGTATAACTATAAAATTATAATTTATTATTATAAACGGGGCTGACTTTTTTCATCCGCCTCATAAGTATGCAGGTTTTCAATCATAATTTTATTCTCATTTCATAAATATGCAAGTTTTTAATTCTAATTTCATTACCGTCTCATATCCGTTCTAAACAGGACGACAAAATAGAACGAGGTATTTTGTCATCCCTATTTATAAATTAAAACATGAATGAAAACATATTAGGATTTGAGATTTCCCCGCAAAATTCAGTTTTATTATGCATATTAAATAACACACATGCACTTGCCACTTATCTAATTAAAAGTTCATTGAGAAAGAGATTCACACAAGCAAGTTGGTCCTATTGTTGTTACCCATATTTCCTGCGTACCATCCAACCGACACTCTGGTGCACATGATGCACCACAACCCTTTTGGTTGAGATTTAAATATAAATTTTAGTTATCCTTAATCCACATGTGCATACCATCGCTACAGCTGTTAGTAGCCGGCAAGAACCACAACCCTTTTGGTTGAGATTTAAATATAAATTTTAGTTATCCTTAATCCACATGTGCATACCATCGCTACAGCTGTTAGTAGCCGGCAAGAACCAGCTTCTGCTAAGATGATAACACCATATTTTTTTTGCCATTGCTCTGGTGAATGTAACATGAGATTAAATTATTAAAAATGATCTCAAAAAATTAAATATAATAAGTTATAAGATTGTGAGAAGAGCATCTTGAATCCTTGATCAGCGTGTTAAAAGATTTTTTTGTGTAAAATATACACAATATATAAAACTTTTTTATCTGCACTAGTATGGTAAGATATATTGTCACTTCACTAATGTGTAAAATTGTTATTTATTTTGCACAATCTTTTTGCACAATCATATCAACATATTTTCTCTTTTCTTTTTTTCTCATTCCATTAACGAATTAACCCTATGTTAGGTTACGTGGGTTTTGGACATAACACATGGTTGGTTGTTATGGACAGATATACGTGGTTGGTTATTATTGGCGAATATATTTTTTACATAAAAAGTATAAAACAAAGACCGGAGCCATAAAATAATTAGTCCAAAATTTTTGTTTAAATCTAATATGACAAATCACATTTACAATATATATATATAGACAATCATTAAAAATGCTCTAATTATTGGATTTGCATGTCTCCTGCTTGAAATTTTCACGGTTTTATCTCAAGCCTCTCAACAGCTTTGTATTGCATCTCTGTTTTTGTTCTTCTTGAGATGTTAAGTATGGGACCTTCTGATACAGAAATGTAAGATCCTTTTAGGTAATATATAATTTCGGAGCTTAACTGTAATGACCCGATCATTTTCCTTCCTTTTCTTTTTCTCAAATTTTAAGGATAAATTTTTTTCGTTTAATTTTCTTTTCCGAGTTCTGTTTCTCGTCACTTGGTGTCGTCTCGAGTGCTTGGAAATGGTTTCTGAGAGTCTTTCGTTTGGATTGACAACTTCCTTTGAGGATTGAGTCATTTCCACATTTTTACTTTTTAGACACTATTCACTTTTCGTTTGTCTTTTCCCAGTTTTTCACTTTTTGGCATGACCTCACTTTTTGTGCTCGGAGTTGGGTTTTGACTTCGCGTATCTTCATTTCTATGTGGTTTTCACGAAATACGTATCTTTACTTTTGTACAAAAGTACTCTGGTTGCTTCCGGTGTCCATAGGGGTATGGATGCACAATTCTTCAGAATCTTTTTTCTTTTTTTAGGATATTTTTCATAAATATCTTTTGAAGATATTTTATTTCAGGAGTTTTTAAGAAAATATTTTTGGAAGATATTTTCATTCTGGGTTATTAGTGCAGTTAACCCTTTTTGGAGGGGCCATTGTGCAATTAACTAAAGTTATTGCAAAATACCTCGTTTTGAGTTTGGATCATCGTAAGGGATTTATTTTCACATTTTTTCGAGTCGTGTACTCTTAGAATTTCTTTCTGATCGTTTTTCTCCAGTTTCAGGGTTTTTGGCCCCGGTTGCCGCCGAACTTGTTCAGAACATATCTCTTTATTCGGGACTCAGTTTTCGACGCTGTTTTGTTGTTCATATTTTCTCATCTCGGTTCTTTTTGTTCACGGAGTTTCACTATTTGAGCGCGATTGCTCAAATTCCACTTTTCCGGATCCGGCGGGAGCCGTTTAGGGCATTTTTTTTTAGTTTTTCTATAAATAGGGGGTCTTAAGTCAAAAAAATCAGATCTCATCATCTTCCTCCCCTCTCTTAGCCAGATTCCACGGCAGCCATGGTTGCACCCTTCTCTCTTCTTTTCCGGCCACTTCCCTCGTGTAAAACGCCGCAGTGCCTTAATGTTTTGTGTTCGCCTCGACAATGCACACCTTTCCCCCTTATTAGAACCCATTTCTGACCATTTTGTGAGTTCGGGTTTGAATTCAAGTTGTGATTTTCATAGGACTTCCTTGGGGTTAATGATCATCGTGTTATCCCCGACAAAACTTCGAAGTATCGTCGAATTCGGAGCACTTTTCTTTCGGTAGGGATTTGAGATTTTCATCTTAAATTGAGGTAGGGGGTGTTATAGGTTATTATTTTTGTTGTCTTACATGCTATTGATGTTTATGTAACTTAATTACATGCTTTGGTATCAAATCTAAAAAATTTATTATTTATTTTTCTTGTATGAGATTTAATTTTCTCGGTTGGTTATAGTTTGGTTTAAACATGTAGTATGAAATTATATTACCCATTGGTATGTTCATTGACATATATTAAATTGAGAGCATTTGAACAAGTATTGAAGATTTTAATTAATATTTTTTTAGAATGAAAAATTAATTCATGTGGCCTTGTCTAGCTTGAAATTAATATGTGATGTCATATTATATTAGGCCCTAACATACTCTTCAACGTATGTGAATTTGAGAGTAATCGGAGGTGTTTTAAAATCTAATAATAATTAATTAATTTCGTTAATTAATTTATTCCAAGTGTACTATTCACTCCATTGGATTTTCGACTTCATTTTATTGATGTACATGCTATATATTTTCATATATATTAAATCGGTAATATTTGATTAAGTTTTGAAACATTTCATTTTATTATTTTCTAGTATTAAAGTTCAATGCTCATGGCCATATCTTGCATGGAATTCACTTGTGTCATGTTTTTAAATCAAGTCTTGACATGTTGTATAATATATATTAATTTGAGATCATTTGGATGAGTTTCAAAATCTAGAGATTTTAATTAAAAGAATTAATTAAAATCCATTCAATAATTCTATGAACTTGACCAAGTTCTAACTTGGCATTCATGATTTTCTTGACAAATTCCTTCACATATATCAGTTTGAGAATGATCAGATAAGTTTTGAGACTTACATTTATTTATTTCCTTTGTATGGAACTTAATCCACATTATTGTGTCTTGTATGAAATGAACTTGTAACTTGATATTGAACTTGTCCATGACATGATCCTAGACATAATTTGTTCGTAGAATGTTGGACTTGCCTTGTAATCTTGAGAACTTAATCCCTTAAGTTGATTAAATTCCCTTTTATGCTTCCATCGAGTTAATCATGCCTTGATTTTGAATCCTTGTTAAATTTATGAATCGGACTTATATTACATGGACTTTTATCTTTTTATCAAGCATCATGACCCTTTGTGACTTGGTTTCATTAATGTACTAAATGAACTTACACGATTATCTTGGAATGGTTTAATTACTCATGTGTTGCTTAGTAAGTAATTGAATCATTAATCTTATACTTGTAGTATATTTATATCAATGGATTTCATGTGCTATATATCTTAGTTCTAATCTATATAAATGCACACTATGATTTCTTGGCATTTCACATGCCATCATAATTGAGAACTTAGGGCATGACTTGTGTGTTCCAAAATCTTGGTTATGCATGAAATGTAGTTTAATGCATTACTTGTATTTTGATATACTCTTGGTTGCACAACTTGTTGATTTTGGAACTTGAGATATCAATCAAGAATTAACATGGCTATGACTTGGTTCTAGTACGGGAGATAGAGAGTTTCCTACACTATAGTGCGCATTAGGGGAAGGTACCCATGGGTTAGTAGCTCTAAAGTAATCCCAAGAGTACGGTTTTAATCCGGGCGATATCCAAGTATCCACATTGGTTGATTTCACTCTTTAAATTTCAAGTTGCTATTCCTTGAAAATTTAAAACTTGTCGTGTTATGTGAAATGCTCCAATCTTGTTAATTGCATAGATATTATGTCTTATCATTGATTTCATGTATTACTCCTATCGTGTTAATTGGAATGTTCCAATCATGTTAATTGCATTGGTAATATAATTCTTGTTAACTTATATTCGAGTATACTTCATATCGTGTTAATTGGAATGTTTCAATTATGTTAATTACATTGATAATGTGATCCTTGTATTCTAGTATCTTATTGTCGTGTTGTATGGATTATTCCAAACCTTGCTTAATTGTGTTGATAATGCAATTCATATTGATCTATATTCAACTATCCTTTCTATCATGTTCCTTGGATTATTCCAATCTTGATTCGTTTCATACATGTATATGTATCATGATTCTTGTTGATTACATTCTAAGGTAGCTTAGGATACTCCCTGAGTCTCTCATATTGACATAGACGTTAGGTGGCATAAGTTCCTTTAACATGTTTCACCTTAAGGTGATAAAATCGTAAAATACTAGGTTGATGCATGCTCATTTCCTACGAGTAGCTTTATGTTACTCACCTCGAAGTTACTGGGGATTTGTTTAAAGTACGAAGGCTTAGTTCGTGATGCTCATCATTCCTTAGATGACTTATAGCTTTTAAGTTTCCATTTCATGCAAGTGTTAGCATAAAATGTCATTTTGTAGCTTTGTTTATCAAAACTTGTATTATTTGATTCCATATATGTAATGTATACATAAGTACACTCTTTTCAATGTATTTGACATGTATGAGTTGAGGCCATAGGCCAATGGCATCAAATATGTATTCTATGCACTTTTATTTTCAAGGTTCAGTATGGAAATATTGAAAAATGTTAAGTCTTTGTCACCATGTTCGCATCGGGTGTAAGAATTCCATTTTTTTTTTTCTTTCGTAGAGTCTCTATGATCATGCATGAAGTGTGGCTAATGGTCAAACACCATTTTGTTCTAGAATTCGCATTTTGGTTTCATTTATTGCATTTTGAGGCATTTTTGGCCGTTGAGAGATCATATTTTGCATTGAGGATATTTTGAAACCGCAGACCATTAGGACGCGTCTTAAATGTCTTTTTATATTTGCATGCATGTCACTTTTCACAAAACTCTTAAGTTTTAACTTTTGACCTATTTTTGGGCGGTTTTACAAATTTTTATGAAAAAAATCATGCATGGGGGTGTCATTCGAAGTTCTTCTTGGTTTTAGCATGTTTTGGATGATTGCATGAGGTTAGGGAATGTTTTCAAACTTGTTCGGATCATAAAGAATGCATGTAGAACCTTAGAGACGGACCGGATACATTTCTCACCCATTGTAGCAGCTTTTTCTGCTGTAGCAGATGTGTCGGTCGGCTTATGAGGATCCATCAGTCGGTTGACAAGGCCCTCAAGACTATTCCAGTAGCCTTTTATTGAAAAACATCATTTCGGCCAGCTGATCATTGGGGTTTGGTCAGCTAATGTTTGAGTTTCGGCCGGCTGACCCTTGCCGTCGGTCGATCGATCCTCCTTGGAGCTTCTCCATTTCAGTTTTTCTTGGGCAGCTTTGTTGCATCAACTTTGGGAGATCATATCTCATTCGTTTTAAATCCAAATTGGGTCGTTCTTGAGTTTAAATTCAAGAGCTTGAAGTTAGCTTTCCAATGGTACCAACCACTCATCAAAACTCCATCTATAGTGTGAGTTATTCCAGTTTTAGCCAGATAGGTTCGTGGTAACTCTTAAACAGAGAATGCCACTTTGTTTTCATTTCGTATCTTTTCCGTTCGGATTCAGAATTAGGTGATTCTTGAGTCTAACTTCGTTCATTTTTCGTTGTCTTTCCAATGGTATGCACGGTTGCACCCATTTCAGTGTGAAATGACCATTTTGCCCTTAGTTTATTTCTTTTCGAGTTTGGCATTCTTTCTTCATTGCTTGGCTCATTTGAATTTCATGACTTCATGGGGAGTTATATTGGTGCCTTAAGGATGGTGTACATCTTTTGAGGCCATTTTGCTTCTTTTGCTTCCGCATCATGGATCCGTTTCGGGTCATCACAGGACACACTGGGTTGAAAAATCCAAAGTTGTCACATTAACTTTTGAAAAAAAAAAAAAAAAAATTAATAACTTGTGCATAGATAACAGTTAACACTGAGTCCTGTTGTAATGTTTTGCTGAATCACAGGGCTTCTGATTTATTGAAAGATAATAATATTTCATTACTTTGTATACTTTAATCTCTCTATTTCTACATGTTTTTTGTTGTGTAAATTGGTGGGTAACATGTTTAAATGACTCTGAGACAACAGTAACAATGGGTTTATTCTTAGCAGTCTTCTATTTTCCAGTCAATTTAAAAATAAATAAAAAAAAGAAAAAAAGAAGAAGAAGATGATATATTTCATGCTCTAAAAGATAAAGGGGGCATACTACATACAGAATCCCACAACAAAGAGAAGCAGAGTCTAAATAGACTTTCAACTTATTCAAAACACACAGGCAAATTGTTACATATATGATATATGAAAATTGTTACATATATAAAAATCACACTCAGAAGAACATGAACCCACAAGTTGTGAATAACAGATAACATGATCCCACAAAAGCAAAAAAAGACTTGTTTCACTTCAACCACCACATCCCCCACCACACCCACCACCACCACACCCACCACCACACCCACCACCGCCACCATCATAACCACCACCACCACCAACGGTGGTACTGACCACGGCTGTAGCAGCTATAGCAGCACCAGCTCCTAAAATAATCATGCTGCCATCTTTGGTGCCACTGCTTTTGCTTTTTTGGCCCATTTCCACATCATAATAAGAAGACTGCCGGGGCTGAGGGGCAGTTACAGTCGTGGGACGTTTGGTTTTATTGTTTTTGGGATCATTACAGAGGCAACACAAAACTATGACTGCTGCTGCTACAGAACCACATACTATGAGCGGGATAACGTATCCTTTCATTGTGCTTAATTACTAGTACCCACACAATAACAATAACAAAATCATCCTTGCAACTTCTCTTTATATCCACCACATATTATGTGAATTGGATCCGCATGAATTTATTTGGAAGCTTACAGGGATCTATTTGGAAGTTTACAATTATATATGTTTTTTATTATTGAAAGTGTGAGAAAAATTCTATCAGTTGACTTTTGGTAACCAATTAAGGGATTTTTTTTTTTTATTCTATGAATAATTTTCCAATGGGCGGTTTTACGTGGAAGTTTACAGTTACATTCTTTTAGCATTGTAGGAAAATATGAGGAAAGTCCCATATGTTTGACTTTTGGTAACGAAAGGACATTTTATTTATTTTTTCCATGAACTAAACAAATCAACAAACTTATCAAGAACTTTCGTGGAAAAAGACGATGACAAAGGCAATTGAAAGGTTCGACTCAAGAAATGCCTCATTAAACATGCTTAATAATTTAAATACTTATCTAACCCGCTTACCCCTAAACTAACGATAATTAAAACTTAAAAGGACACCACGTCAAACCGTCACCTTATCCTTATCTCAATGCAATCTGTTAAGTCCCAACTTACCCCCTGAGATTTGGAGTTATGTTAAGTATGGACCTTGTTATAATTAGGGTTGATAAATTACGACACGAACACGATCCGAATTAAAAAAGTTGGGATTTGACATAAATAAATTTGGGTTATAAAAGGGTTGACACGATTAACCGTTTACTTAAACGTGTCGGATTAGAATTGAGAGGCTCAACCCGTGTAACCTGTTTATGACCTATTTAACTCAACATGTTATAATTGTGAATATGACATATGTAATATGTTACATGTTTAAACCCAATTATTATGAATAGTTAAGTCATTTTAACATAAGTCTTGTCTATGTGTTATGATTTTTTTTTTTTTTTTTTTGAATATTTGGGTTAATTATGACAAAATTTTTTTCGTATTTGATTAAATATTAAATGTTTCGTTTTGATAAACAAGTCATTAAACGGGTTAACACGTTTATCTGTTTAATAAACGGGTTCAGTTAATATTGAAAATTCTTGACACGATTATTAAATGGATTGGATTTAGATTTACCTATTTAGTATAATGCTGTTACATCGACACGACACGAACACGACCTACAAATACGAATTGCCACCCCTAATTACAATGACACTCCTCTAAGAGAAAAGTCACTTATGCCCTTAAAATTATACTATTAAAAAATAAAAGTATCTTGAACAGTTTAAAAACCCATTTTAAACTTCAACACTATAACCATCTAACATCTAGTTCCGGTTCCTCTACTCTAATCATTCTCTACGGTTTTGTTTGGATTGAGGGAATTAGAGAGATTTGGAGAGAAAAGAAAGGGAAGGATAGTAATGAGTGTGTTTGGATGGAAAGAATACAAGAGAAAAGAAAGGATTTGGAGAGATTTGAAGGGTTAGCAATCCCTCAAAATCTCTCATTTGGAATCCCTCCAAAATTGACAAGATTTGGAGGGATTTGGAAAGAAATGGAGCAAATTACAAAAGCAACCTTGAGAGAAGGGGCAAGCTTGGTTAAGAGAAAGGTCAAATGGTAAATTATTTATTCCTTTCTTTTCTTTTCTATCCATCCAAACAAGAATATTACACATTCCTTTCTTTTCTCTCCTGTCCATCCAAACATGAATATTATTATATCTATCCTTTCCTTTCTTTTCTTTTCTATTATCTTATAATCCTTTCTTTGCTTTTCTCTCCTGTGTATCCAAACGAAACCTACAGGTTTCTCTATCAGTGCATAATCCAATGGCCCAAAATTTGCCATGTCAGCAAACTAAGCTAATGACCCAAATTTGCTTACTCTCTCTCTAATCTCTCCCCTAATTTTCCGACGTCGGCGACTTCACAACAGTGGCCGAAAGTTCCCAACGGTCCTGTCCTTGTAGCCTTCTTGGCGCGTCAGGCTTGTCCCCTTCTGATGGGTCGGGTTCAACGGTAGTGACGCGAAAATTCAAAGTCGTGGGTGATGGCTTTGGCAACACAGTCTAGGAATTTGGGGATGAGGTGGTCGAGTGGTGGTTTGGTAAATTTGGAGGCATCCCGACCCATGGAGAGAAGGGGACCCAAGGAGGAAAGGGTTTCCACGGTGCAGGAATCAGTGGTGGTGGAGGAAGATTGTGGAGGGATAAGATCGGAGAAGCGATCGGCAACGCGATTCTGGAAGAGTTAAAAGTCTTCAAGCTCTTGTTTGTGGTTCCCATCCATTGAGACCACCTGCATTTTTAGGGGCGGTCGCAATAGATGAGGGTGAGGAGTCGTCGGCGTCGACATCGGAAAATTGGGAGGAGAGAGATTAGAGAGAGAAAGTTAGAGAGTGAGCGAGCAAATTTGGGCAATTGGATTAATTTGCTGACATGGCCTATTTTGGGCCGTTTAATACTTGTAAGGAATGATTAGGGTAGAGGAGCTGGATCCCTAAGGTCAAATTCGTCATTGAATGGTTGTACGTAATAAAGAATGAAACCTCCACTGTTAGAAGGTCCATACTTAGAGGGGTGAGCGTAATTCACCCCAAAAAAATATACTCATATACACAAACACATTTCGTGTGATAAGCAAAACCAACCAAACCTTTGTGTTAGAACTCGGATGAAAATTTAGTAAACACCTTCTCCATGTACATCACAATGCAATGATCAATTCAAACAAACCTCTCCCCCCTAAATTCCTAATGGATTGCAAAATTTATCAGAGCTTTGAACCCTAAATTTTGATTCAAAACCCTAATTTATCAGTCTCATTTTGGACATAAATCCTAAGTACAGCAGTTCAACTTTTACTAAAAGACAAGCAAACACAACAGAAGTAATTTGGAAGCCCCACCATTAGCAATAACAAGCAATATCATAGACCTTCATCCCCATAGAAGAAAATTAATTGCAATCATACATATATTTGGAGAATAAAGAGTTCTATGAATTCAAATATTTTGATTATAACAATACAATGAACACACACTTGCACTACATATATATAGATATCAATTTAAGATACTGCTTTTTGCATAATTAAAGTTCCAGAAATATTCCAACCAACTAAAAACCTACATACAAGATAATAACAGGTGTTTCGTCACAGATGGGGAACATGACTTCATTTTAACATCCACAATAACAGCAGCCACAACTGCCTCCTCCACCACCAGTTGCATTACTGTCACCACCATTCATAGCATCATTGATAATAACTACAGTTGCTGTAGCAGTTGTAACAGCATCAGCTCCTGCTAAGATAATCACACTGCCATTTTTTTGCCATTGATTCTGGTTTCTCACCACTTGCAACATCATGACCATAATAGCTACAGAACTGCAGGATATGAGTCCAACAACATGCCTTCAACTTCCTTATAGCTTCACATATGAAAACATCCAATAGGCTTTCTCTTGTATCTAAATTAAGTTTGGCGAAGGCGGAACAATGTTAAGACCTTTCACAGATATAATTTTCTAATGTAACGTTTTATGATGGAAGTTTGCATTTAGATTCTTTAGAATTGTCGGTAAGAGAAGGAAAGCTTTCATTTTTGGTTCACGGGGACCTTTTTTTTTCTTTACTACGACCTCAACCTTCCAACAGTAGCATATACAAGTTGCAGATAACTAGACTCATCAAAAATGAAAATGAAGATAGAGGATTCCTGGGTTGGGATAGGGATTGGGGTCAGGATTTTAGGGTCAGTTTGGTGCAATGGCAAAGGGAGGAAAGGGAAGGGAAGGTGATGGAGGGGCATTAAAAAGTTCTGTTTGGGCAAAAATTGTTGGAAGGAAAGGGAAGGAAAGGGAAGGGTTTGGAGGGTTAACACAAGGCTTCAACAGTAAATTCTTAACCTCCAAAAAATGGGAGGAAATGAAGGGAAAGGGAAGGAGAGGCTTGGTGTGTGATTTCAGATGCCAATTTTGCCCTTGATTACATGTGAATTTAGTTTGCAAAACAAGAATTACAGACCTTGATTAGTTGATTTAGCAGTTGCAGAGAGAGAGGGGCAAGCTTGAGAGTTGAGAGAAAGAGGGCCGACAGCTGAAGCTTGCGAACGGCGAACCCGAATTGGAACAACGGGCGATGGAAACTGAAAGATCGATATGGGTTTTGATTTTTTGAACAATCTGAAATTGGGTTTTGATTTTTTGAACAATCTAAAATGATGCCAATATGGGTTTTGAAGTTTTGATTCTTGTAGACAAATATATAAACTGAAATATATGGGTTTTGAACTTTTGATTCTTGTAGTAGTTTGCAGTTGCAGAGAGAGAGAGAGAGAGAAAGGGCAAGTTCAGAGTTGAGAACGTGAATAGAGATGGAGGCTGAAATGATTTGTCCTAATTTTTTTTTTTCATTTTCCGGTGGCCGATCCATGAGCCTTTATATAGGAGACAAATATATATATATATATATATATATATATATATATATAAATTTATATTTTAAAATATAAAATGGTATAATAGTAAATTTATTAAAATAATTCTCCTTCCCATGCTTCCCTTTCTTTCCCCAACCATGATTATTATCCTTTCTTTTCTTTTCCATTCAATAATCAACCAAACACGATAAGAGACTAAAATTATCCTTCTCTTCCCTTCTCCTTATAACTAATGTTATCCTCTCCCTTCGAACCCACCCTACGAAACATAGCCTTAGTGTTGTGGGGGTTTGAGGATGTCCTCTGCGGAAATTGAAATTTAAGGGAGACTTAGGTGCTACTGGAAACGTCAGTTCACTAACCACAACGCATAAACAAATACTTTGAAACCAACAAAACAGCAACTTCATAAAGAAGCTTACCATAACTTAAAAAACATATATATATTTTCCAAAAATCCTAATTTAAACTTGATATGACTAAGTGTTCTGTTAAAAAGGAAAGAAGAAAAAAAAATTGCCAAGACTCTCTGCAAATGCTGCTCTCCCAAATTTTTTGCCATTCAGAGAGGGAGGTGGGGATAGGGTATTTAATATAGAAACTAATTGACATTTAATACCTCTCAACTCAGCTGCACGCTTGACATATCCTCTGTTCAACAGATACAGTAGTGAAGTGGATCTTGAGTATTTAGCACAACATAGTCAGTTGCAGTCTAAAATGACCAAAGTTATTAACAATATGCATTCAGTTCTAAACCTAAACTGCACTCACCAGCATCAAGCAATACAATGCCCCAACACATCATAAAGAATTTGGCCCGGATGGAATGAAATTACAAAATGAGATTCACAAAGTAACAAAGCAGGATAGTCATGCATAAATAAAGTATAAGACTTTATTTAGTTTGCAAATAACTAAATTTCTTAAGATTTTTTTTTGCAAGAAGTTAAATTGACCAGACGTAAGGCTTCAAGCATTCAACAAAGCATCAAAATCAACCCCAACTCCTACGACGAACCCACTCTCAATGACAAATTTCAAACTTTCGAATAACAAAAAGTAAAATTGATCATTTATGAAAGAAAAAACAAACGAAGAAGTAAAACTAATCAAATAACATTAAACTCGGTAAGAAAAATATTTCACCCATACTAATAATAAGGGCATTGGTCTGATAAAATGGATCCATCATTTAGTCTTCAAATGAAATGAGAACTCTCCGGACTAGGAGTACTCCCAGTCTCAGAGCCCGAACAATCTTTGCTAGAGCATCATTTTCATGGAACCGAGGGCCGAGCCAAAATTTCATTTCAAGGGGGGCGCAGTGTACTTGTAAAAAATAAAAAATCAACTAACATGACAAATACAGATTGTTCAAATCAAAAGGCAAACAAGAAAAAAAAAAAATCATTGCAAAATAATATGCTAACAAGGAGTAGTATAAGAAAGATAAATACTTGACAAATATAAGAACCGAAATATTAATTGATAAAATTTCTATTGAATACAATTACAACTGTCCACGATTGGTCTTTTTATTTTGAAAGTGATGAGTGAAATTACACCCATTGAGTTGAAAAAATTATAGTAATAAATTTAAATAAGAAAAAGAGAAATAAAAAGAATAAGAAGAGAAAGAAGAATTTTAAGTGGAAAAAAAAAAAAAAAAAAGAAAGAGAGAGAAAAAGAAAAAAAAAAAAAAAAATGACAGAACTTCGAACGGAAAAAATTAGGGTTTGATTGAAGAGGGGAATGTAACTTTTTAAAAAAAGAAATTTGAAAGAGTTAAAAAAGAAAAGAAAGAAAAAAGTAAGAGATAATTTTAACAATTGAACATTTTAATAACAACGGATGTCATTTAATTACTTATCAAACTAAAAAAAACCGGATGTCATTTAATCATACTCCAAAATTTTCAAATATTCACCAACTTTAGTGGGTTTATATTCATTTTATCAACTCTTTAATCTTCAATACTTCAAACACATACACCTTAGGAAGCAGACCTTGGATTCACAATTTAAAAGTTGCTAGGTTTCCAAGTGCTGACTCTAAAACAATCATTTATAAGTTCAGTGTCACATAAGTCAGACAAGTCATTATTGCAATTTTTTCAATGGTAGATTCATCTACCTATCTTAAAAGTAGGAGTGTGATTGTGAGAGACATGGTGGTAACTTTCATATTGTGAATCCAAGGCATGTTCCCAAAGATGTTAAGGTGGATGTTCTTGAAGTCTTGAGGATGAAAGAGTTGATAGAATATCAATCCACCACTGCATGAGTGATGACACTAATCAAAGTTAGAACCTAATTTTGGAGAATGTGATTCGATAGGGTCCATTGCTATAAAGACGGCAGACAGCTTACTTCATCAAAAAAGAAAAATGATACTCCAACTACAAGCCCAAGAAGTATTCCCAGTCCGGAGAGGTATTATTTCATTGATGAGTATATGATCAATCCATTTGGTAATTTATGATAAAAAATTGAAATTTCAATTAATCTTGACAAGAGGAATTTATTTTGCAAACTTCAAGTGAATATCATGGAAAGAGAAGGAATCAGTTGTTTGCATAATCATGCAGACATATCCTAGAAGCTCAGCACAACTACAGATGCTGCACCGGGAGAACATCTAGATATGGCAAGCCATCATCAGTACCTGCTATATTTCATCACCTTCCTTCATATCCTTGTATATGTATTTTCTTATTTTCCATAACTTGTAAAAGACTCGTCAGTATACAAAGCTCACAATAACATATAAAAATGAATGCAAAAGGATTCGGATGAGCTTTTTGGTACGCAACGAAGCACCAAATAAATGAACCATCCCCTTTTCTGAGTTTTTGACCGACACCGTAATTTAATTGTCGAACGTATAATAAATGCTACCAAAACTGATATATTAAAATAATTATCTTAAAAGTTAACAGGTGGTCAGCCATAATAACTTTGGCAGGAGATAAAGACAGAGATGTGGGAGACGTGGCTCATATGGCAATTAAAATTTGAATGGACCGGTTTCCTTGACTAAAATCATGTATCATGGACTTTTTCAGTTAGTATACAGGTTGCAAAAAGAAGTAAGGCTTTAATATACTAATACAGATTAGATTTAAAAATATCAGATATTGTGTATGACATTTATATCACATCAGGGAAACTAATTAGTCTAACTGTATGTATAAGAAAGATCCATGACCCAAACTCAGGCATTCAAATACCAGGGTTGATTAAAGAATCTTGTTTAGAAAGATCAAGAATCTTGTTTAGTGTGCCTGTGTATTATGTACACTGTACAACGCATACAATACTTGTCGCTAAGAGTCAACTTATTTACTATATTTAGCCACCTTTGGTGTGGAGACAAGGTTTCAAGTATTGGAATGATGACTAGAAAAATACAAAGAACTTCAAGTAAGACACTCAGATGAGTAAGGCAAACATCAAATCCAGCCACAGAAACCACCTGCAGCAGCAAGCTGGGCAGTCATTGGGCACAGGATCTACCAGATTGTTTCTTCATGGTCCATACTGAAAAATTATGTAAAAAACTATATAAGACTAGTGTGACTACAAAGTGGTTTTGGAAGGGCATTTATTTATTTATAAATAAACATATAAATCTATAAACTTAATTCCAGATGCAAACATTTGAGTAAGCATATTAGCTCATGCAAATAATAGTATTCCACAAATAAGCTCAATTTAGGTTGGGTTTTTTTTTTTTTAAATAAATTCTTTAGATCAAGGATAAATGAAGATATAAACAATTTGGGTGTTGCATAAGTGGAGGTAGTGACATTTAACGGCACCATACAAGAACCAGTAGATATGAATATTTTGACCCACATGAGTACATGACTATATCTAGGAGGAAACTTCACTTAGTTTCATGAACGTCGATTCTGAACTAGGGGAATGAGCAACTTCATTTGCTAAGGATATCTGAACTCCAAGAGCCTACTAACATGCAATAAAGGATACTTGGGAAAAAAAAACGAGTATACCCCCAACAACAACAAAGAAGAAGAAAAAACAATGATGACCACAAGGGCAAGCACAACTTATGAAATCAAGAGAGCAAAAAGGATATTGTTCTCCATAAACGAAATATGAGTAATGCTATTTATACCTATTTCCCAAGCCTAGGAGTGTAGCCGAAGGGATTCTTATACATTTGATGAAGTGGATGGGCCCAGTGTTAATCTCATCCACTGAACCAAAGGGATAAAAACCCCTTTGGCTACACAACACGACTTGTAAATGCATCCATAAAACACAATCGAAGTGGAAACACATCATATGAACTAAAAATTACAGTTCTTAGAGAACTTATATGAAACCAATAGTAATATCTAATCAACTCTATTTTAGGGCAACAGAAAACAGAACCATTCTACAGTCCACAAGTAAAACAACATTGTTTCTCAACTACTGAGTCATGAATTAGGACACAGAGAAGGTGAAAATTTGTATATTTGCGTCAACTCATATATAGTCATTAAGAACAACACCTCAATACCATAGAACGTCCAATAATCATTGGTAAAATTCATGTTATAGTACATGTAGTATATATATATATATCCATAGAAAGAATTGGAATACATGCAACACAAATTGGTTCCAATCAAATCATCGTGATTAAATGTATTTTCCAAGTTCTCACATCAAATCAAAAGCAACATGTTGATAGAACAAGTGGGCTCATCATAAAAATAAATATACATACTTGCGGGTGGTATATCGAAATCACAGAAGAACGAGGTTCCGCCGCCGTCATCGCGGTGGTTTGGTGCTTTCTCTTTTGTCTGTGATTCTCAGCTTGGGAAAGGTTGATTTTATAGTGCAAAAGTGGGGGATCCTATATGGATCCGGATCCGGATAGTGGCTAGGTCATTCAGGTGGTATTCCTTGGGCCTCTCCATCAAATGAATCAGGACCCATATCTCTTTATGGGCATGTTGCCTTAATTCTTATTCTTTCGATTTCGATTTTGCTGCCAAGTGTACTTTTTTCTTTGAATGACCCAAATAGGGCTACATGTAAAGGTGGTTGTACTTACTCCAGCCTGTCTTTGCTCTTATCCTTAAATTGGGTCTTGCCTTAACAAGACTTTGTTAATTTTCTGTCCTTCATTCCAGAGGCCCTTATGCATTCTCCCTGTCCTCAAAGAGTCCTACTATTACTCTTTGTTTGCTCCTTTTACTTAGAAGTGAGTGGTTTGGTCAGATCGGGGTTCTTGGCCCATCGATCGATAGTTTGTGGCCTAGCCAGATTGAGGTTCAAGGCCAGTCGATCGACAACTTATGACTGAGTCGGATCGAGATTCAAGGCCTGTTGATCGACAATTTGTGGCTGAGTCGGATTGAGATTCAATGCCCATCGATTAACAATTTATGGCTAGGTCGGATCGAGGTTCAATGTCCGTCGACCAACAGTTTATGGCTTGGTCGGATCGAGGTTCAAGGCCCGTCGATCGACAGTTTGTGGCTTGGTCGGATCGAGGTTCAAGGCCTATCGATCGACAATTTGTAATTCCTGATATCGACCAAGTGTTGTCATTTTTGTCTTCTTGCTTGAAGCCAGGAATGATGTGAGGTCAGCTTGATTTGACCCCTTGATAACGCGGCTAAGCTATATCCACATGTTTAAAAAGACTTAAACTCTTTAAGTTTAACTTTAAAAAGAGAAGAGATATCACTACATTACAGGCTTTTATGATAATAAAATTTTTTAAATTTGTGATTAATATTAAACAGGGAGACAATATTGAGGTACTGTCAAGCTGTTCATGAGGTGGCTAGGATATTGGAAGCAAGTTGGCTCAGAGTATGGGTTTATGTAATGATCCCTTGCCTGGAACCCTCCTGGTTAATCTAGGAGACCTTGCTAAGGTGGGTTACTACAATTTTTTTCTTGTGTTTGTTTGGTTATCAGGAAATAAATTATTTAATACTCCATCCGTGCCATAAAAAGTGTCATGTTTGGGAACCGTGACTAACTCCAAATGCATGTAGCAATGCATGTATTGAAAAGAATTCAGAAATCATTTTAAGTTTGTTTGTGAGTCACGGCATGACACTTTTTATGGGATAAAGGGAATACTTTTGAATGAGAAAATGATACAAACCAAGATTTCCCATATATTCCCATTTTGTTTTAGATTTCTCAAATGTGTTTGATACAATTCTTTGATGTTTTAAAAGTATGGAGCAACGGAAGATTTTGTACTGTGAAGCACAGAGTGCAATGCAAGGAAGCAACAATACGCGTGTCAATTGCTGTATTTGTACTGCAAAAAGAAGGAAGAAACTGTTGAAGCACCACCAGAACTGGTGGACTCAGAACACCCTGGGTCTCTATGTTCCTTCTAACTTTTGAAGATTATAAAAAGCTTCGGCTGTCCATCGGATTGCGTGCCGGCAAATCACTTGAGCTTATACGCGCCACCAACTCCTGAGAGAACACGAGGAGGCCATTTCTATTTCGAATGATTTATGTTACATCTTTACTTTTAAATAAAGTTGCCTTAAATGAATAATATAGAGAGAGGATATATAAATATACTGTATGCAATTTTGCAAAAATACGCATAAATAGTTATCAAACAAATGTAATAAGATCGTGGAAAGTTAAAGACAGTACCGACATATCAGTTCTTAAACGTATGGATAGAGCAATGCACGTATTGAAAAGAATCATAAACACTATATAATCCAAGTAACTGCCAGGATCTAAATCAAACTCCAAATGATTTCTGAATTCTGAAATTGTCCCTATGCATGCCAAGTATAAACACTTGTACTGTAGCAGAAAAGAAACATTTGAAATTGGCAAAAAGAGAGCATAATTTATTTAATTTGAATTGCAAAACAAGAAACAAACTGGAGTTCAAGCAATGCAGAGTTATGGTGCTTTGAAGCTTTTAATGTTGGGACTTTCAAGAAAAGCTTTAAACCAATGGCTTGGGGAACCACTGTCAAAAAGGGAGATCATGGTGCATCTTAAGGCTGGACTTTCAAAACAAAGCTTTTAAGGGGGCCAGTAACAACTTTTAAGCTCCATTTACTGCCATGGAAATTATATCCCAGAAAAAGCACCAAACAGATTTGGTAACTTCAAAACATAATGATAAACGCATTAATAGTTATTTCGGATATACAATAGCAAAATAATTCTCTCGAATTTTTAGAGAACTTGCCTCAGACTATATAAAATATAATAAGCATCTGTCATGTGACAAAAGCTTATTTATGTACAGAAGCACTGATACACAAGCTTTTGTTAGAAAAGAAATTATATTTACTGGAAAATGCATAATCAAAGAAGAAAAATACATAACTGGGATTTGAAATATGATTCATGTACCCCATTCAACAAAATATTGAAGGAAAATTTGAGGTACAGCTTATATCTAGCAAATTAGCCATTTAATCGGTAGGAATTCCCAGAAATTGAAGTTTACAATGACCAGAAGTTCGACGACATATACCATCTTTGGAGTTACTACCGCATTTTACATGTATGCCAAAGTTACTATCGGAATGAAAAGCTTCAATTGAAGAAATACTGACCTTCTTCAGATTCTCTACTTTCTCTACTCTATCAAGAGGTTGGGTTGACGGGTACGAGTCCAAAACTAAGCTCTTACCCTCCAAAACAAATCTTGTCTGGGGCTTACTTCTTGAAAACATACTACATGAAACATGTTTATGAGATGAATATTCTGGCACATATAAGTTGTTGAAGATTGAGGAGATAGGATCAATATTACATGCGTCAGCATAATCTACGGTACTGAAAGAGTCTCTGGTACTCTCAGTGGTGAAAGATGCTTCATCTGAGCTCGTAAAAATGGACCAATCACTTGATGTAGCATCCGAAAAGTCGATGCTCCTTGACTCAGCATAAGTCTCCACTGTTGGCGGTCTATTTCTATTTGCACTTCTAAGAATACCATTCAATGTGTGGTTGGTAAAGCCCATGGTAGATTCTGGTCTAAGGTCTGATGAAGCTTCAGGGCCGACAAAGTGGCAACTGGATTTGCTTTGTCCTGGTCTTGAAGATTTGTGACTTTTGGATGTCCAGTGGTTTGCAAATCCAGAAGCTTGATGCTGGGTAGCTTTTGCAGTAGAAGTGATTGTGGGCCGGGGGCACGACCTACAAAAAATAAAATTTTAAAACCTGAAGTAAGAATGAATAAGAATAATTGACATGGCAAAAACTTCAGGCATGGTGCCTGCAACAGCATCCAAAAATACATGAAGTGGATATAATGCAAAACCATCTCAAAGTTGGAGTGATTGCATTACATAGCAACATCCCATGTCACTAAAGTTTCACTCACAAATTATATACAGGAATTATTTAGTAAAACATATTATTGTTATGTAAGTGCAGAAACTTCAAAAAAAAAAAAAAAAAATCTCAAGTGAATTGCCACTCTAAACTAAATGCTTACCTCATGTAAAATAAGATATATGCTCCCTCCAACATCACCTGGCTCATCGGTACCGGATGGACCTGCCATTTAAGAATGATAGGGAACTTGAGAACCTATCTCATCAGGAAGGAAATTGAAGTAACAACATGAAATTGTATTTGATATATCAAAAATCTAAACTCTGAAGAATTATAGACCATAGTGCAAAATCAGCATACCCTCCCGCCACTGCTGGGTTTGAGGAGTGTCATATATACGGCATTCCATGTGTCGTATATAAACCACGCAATTATATAGATTTACTCGAAAAATATCATATAAGAAAAAACATGCAAGAAAACAGCATGCATGAAGCAATTGGGTTCAGCATAAACCATCAGATTAGCATCGTTTCAATACCGTCAAATAAAATAGGAACCCAAAATACCTCCAGCCAATACAACGATATATTCATGAGGAGACCAATTACCTCAGTGTCATCTATCCTGAACCAATTGCCTTGCAGATCTTTAACATATGAGATATAATGCCCAGAAAAAGATGCATTCAGCGTATCCAAATGCACAACAACGGCATAAAGCAGGTAAAGTGGAGGAATGTCAACTGTTCCAGTCATAAATGGGATCATATCCAGCATGTCAGGAAAAGTGATGCACTTATTTATCTTGCCATAACTACCCTCCTGGTAAAGCAAAAAAACACAAACATTAAGCGTCCACCAAAAGACCAGAAATTGAAAAAGAAAATTAGAGGCAGCAGAAACAAATATATGGTTTGCAAAGAAAATACTCCAATGTAAGATCATCTTGGATGGATAATATTAAAGGGATGACAGGACTAGTGACCTTCGTATTTACTGATGTATAGTTCCTTCTTGTACAAAAACAAAAAACTATTTGTATGCAGACTAACCAATATCATAAATATTTAAGGCAAGACCCCACATCTTTTTATCAACCAAGGCAAAGCCAAGTCTTGATGAAAAGGATTATAAAACAAAGATCTTACTCTTATCAATAACGGATGCAGTAATACCTGAAATCTCTTCAGGACAATTGTCAAGACATTTGGCGCTTCATGTATACTCAACTGCTTCCGCGCCCGTACATATGCAGCACACCTTTTCGTCAAAATACATTAAGAACTAGTTATTTCCTTGACTAGAACAGTAGAATCTATATAATCTGTAGGACATCGAGGATGACAACGTAGTAGTATATGGTCAACGAACCTTCCACATCTATACATGTTTTCTCCATCCAAATCTTCAGGGGTTGTAAACTGAGTGAGTGCATCTTCCAATGATTCAACCCAACCAAATATCTCCAATGTAAGATCCATAATATTTTCATATCGTTCCGACTCATGATGACATCTCAAACATTTGACCTGGTTGCAATGAGATTGATTTAGAAAAAATTCATCTGTATTAATACGAAAAATGGCAGAAATGCCAAAAGTTCCAAAAGGTATTTCTCAACTCAAAATTGATAAATATCAGAAGGGTACAAACAAGAATTTGACACCTTTGATCTAAGACGACCCCCAAAAGTATGTTGTATAAAGGTTGTTTCCTGCAATCTGGGATCAACCACTTCCTCTCCACCCAAACCCTCCAAGCATATAGATTGCATTGAGGTGACTAGAAGCCTGGATAAAGACTACATATTAAATTAAAACCTAGAAATAAGATGCACTAATTTTCCTTCTTTAATCAAAGTGCAAGAGACCAAATTCAACTTTTCCAAGCTCATGTATAAATGAAATCATATAGAGAAGAATAAATTAGTATATGGAGGAGGGGGGAGAAAAAAAGATGGGTACATTTGTTAATCCTGACAAATTGACAGACCTCAAAAATTCATGCGCATCTTCCTGACTTCCATCACCAATCTGGCAATTTATACTCCGCATATGAGAAAGAATTCTGCTGGGAGACAGAGGGCCCCCACTTTCTCTTAACATCGTTACATGTTGCTCAAGTTCACACATAAGGCACCAATCTTTCACACAACCTAAATTGCATGTGAGAGATAAGAGTTATACATATGCCCAAAAATAAAAAAAACAGTTTATTCATTCACAACTAACAGCAAGGGGATATGAGATGACTGAAATACAGGTTCTAGAATGTGATCTAGAGTGCAAATAGATGGTCAGAGGCTTTGTGCAGGTCAAACACTGCAGTACAGCATTGGCATAACAACTGCAAGAAGAAAAAAAAAAGAATTATCAATGAAACAGCATAATAAATATATATATATATATTCCTAAAACACGAAACTATATAAAAACCTAAACTTTTTTAAACACTTTTAAGTAGTAGCCATTGTTGTATAAAATAAAAAGAGAATTAAATGGTTCAATTCCATTGGTTGATATTGTTGATCATAAACAGTTGGGATAACAGACTGCTGATGGATTGATACTATAGGTATACCGGCAGACCCTTTGTTTCACCACATGGCACAAGCACTTGACGTCATTTTATTTTTTAAGAATTTAATGAGCTTTGTTTCCAACTTACAGAAAAACCATTGAAAATTCTAGCTCTTGCTTATGTATATAGACAATTCCTTTTACTCGTTTTCCATTCACAGTTTAATGCCAAAAGTTAACAGCAAGAAATTAAGACGGTACCTGTTCCCACAATTTACAAGGCCTCGAGGAGTTAAGCCAGAGAATTCACACTGAAAGAACTTCACATATTCTTCGTAAGGAAATAACATCTGAAAATTATGATAAAAGATTATCAATGAGAGTTTCCTTTTACATCACAAAGCCAAAAATATTTATTAGGATTCATAAAATTTAATCAGGTAGTAAGGAAAGTTCTTGCAGTTCAGATAGGGCTGCTACTGACTTGGGACTGACCTTTAGTTTCTTACGCCTATCACCAAAAACTTGCGGTATTTCCTTTCTGTCAAGTTTTGATGACTTCCTCAGACCAATCATTTTCATGATTCCCATGCTCGCAACCCCATTGCTTCCTTGTGCAGCAACAGTGTTCCTCATTGTAGCAACTTCTGCATCACAAATGTTGAATCAGAATATAGAACTATATGTAGGTTATGGTTTAAGAACAATCACTCATGACACCCACTTGACCCATCCGCATTTTGCTTCTTCCTTTCCAAATCTGAACATGATTGTTCTCTTGACGCTTTCATCATCAATTTTGGTGATTTATACATTTTGGACCCAGGAGAATACGATCCACTTCTAGTTTTAATGGTTCTTTTCATCAGAATCATTTCAGAAGAACAGTTCAATTCCACCTTTTCATCATTAGAAGTAAGTCCTTCCCCCGCTAAATTTTGCCTATCCAATAACAAATCCATTTCAATGCCACACAAATTTGTCCCATTTTTCGCTGAATTTGATGAGCTTGATTCACCAAAATCAGTTATTGAATCAAATACAGATTCAGGTTTGCTTTGTAAGTTATGGCCATCATTTGTTGTACTTCTTTTATGCTCTCCATTACTAAACCCACCAGGGATGTTGACATTATGTATTTTAGGAATTTCTTCTTCTGAAAACACGGAGTCACCATTTCTGATCTGCAGCCAAGATATAAGCATAAATTATCAGGATTTTCTACTAGATAAAGAAAAACCACACATATCATAAAGTATTCGAGGATTAGAACCTTATGTCTCATATGAGCTTCCTTTGATGGAAAAGTTTTAGATGAGGCAGAACGCTTAATTTTATTCTTAAAGGTCTCTTCAGAAGACCCTAATATAGCTCCATCATCTCTTCTTGACACTTCTTTGTTGGATTTGCGGGAAATTCTCTTGTCTATGGATCTCCTCTCCATTACAGAGACTCCAGAAGTATCCACTGTGGTACAAGCAACAGGTGCAGAGGCATCAGTTCTAAGAGAATGATGAATTGTTTCATGGAAAGGAGTTCTCTCATGCACAGGCTGCTTGATATTGAAACCAAAGCAGTGTGAGTTCATGTTGCCATCAAGCAAGACACTTTCACAAATAGACTCTTCAGCTATGGAAAGCTTAGGAGATGAGCAGCCGCTGCTGGTTTCAAGAAGCTGGCACTCTTGCTTGTGAACTTCCCTCCAGTGGATTATCTGGCACTTCCCGGAACTGCATACATATCATGAGATTGAAAACTTAATTAAAGAACTTTGAGAAGGTCCGACTCTTGTTGCACCAGTTCAAAATTCATGTATGTGGCAGAGAGCTATGTCTCACATGCATTCTCCCTTTCTTATCTCGTGTAATGCTAAATATATTGCTGAAGAGTTTGGTATTACAGGAAACAAGCATACAAGAAAAAAGAACAAATAGCACATGCATACATAATTTATAAAATTATCACAGAAATGGTTTTGAATGTTCATTACGCCATGAATTAAAATGAAGCATCTAAACGCCTAGAACTTGACACAAAATTAGTTTAAAACCTCAAAAACGTACCTAGATTTCTCCGACTTATGACAGTCAAAACTATTACAAGTCAAACAACCAAAATGTAATTTGCCAACATTTAAGAAAAAGTTGATTCAAGATGTCCACTACTTATAATTGTTGATCAAATGCTAGCAATTACAGACCCAATTATTCAATATCCGAATTAAGAAGGGTCAATGGGTAATGGTAAACTTGCCAAGTAGTAGAGCCTTTTCTTTTATGACTAGAGACAAAAAGGCAAGGACTATAAATGATTCCTAAGAAATTTTGTGGTGATAAGTTTCCTAAGTAATAAACTTTATGTATGAAAGTTTTAAAAAGTCAACTCGGTAAGACTTTATCCTGAGTAATTGCACCCTACTAAATTAAATTACTATTCCACATCCATATACTATTCGAGACTCCCACACTCACAATCACTCGACAAAAGACAGTACTTTGGCAGTCAGACTAACTCCACCCAGAGTTAAAATCTGCAATAAGTTATAGACATGTCAATAAAAATTCAACCATCATCCAAAGGATTGGTAGAAACTAGAAAGTTGCTGATATGGAAAAACCAAAACAGTCGCATATAAAAGAACAAGGTAAACAATTTCCACTATCATCCATCTAGTTATTCAATAAAAAAGAATGCATTTGAGACAATCTCAACACATCTTCAATAGAAGGAAACCGAGAGTGCATTTATTTCAAAAATTAGAAACTCAAACTTGTTCAAAGACGACTAAAACAAAAAAAAGAATAATCCAATGCAATGCCAGTTAAAGGCAATATAAAGAAAGGAAGCAATCAAAAACTCAAATGAACAAACACTTTGGGAAATAATTTCAAAATTATGTACTTTATTTACATTGGGGGTCTGGATTACATTGTGGGCTGGAAAGTTCGTGACACCAATTGTAGGCTGGAAGTTAATTCAAAATTGCAAGCTTTTACACTGTGAACCTTTGTTACATTATAAGCTGGAAAGTTTATGGGATTCCATATAAAGGACACTACAAGCATAAAGACCCTCTTTACCTTCTCTTCTGACAGACTAAATATCTTTGATGACAATTTTTTCCAGGAAATCCCAAACGAAAAATAAAAAACTATTCCATCTTTTCTATCGAATTGATCATAACCACTCCCTAAACTCCACGAAATTGTGCACCACAAATAGGAGACTAATAAAGAGGACCCACCATCCCATAGAAAGAAATCAAAATCCATTTTCTGAGAACCGAATGGGACCCATGGCATTAATGAATTATAAATATCATCTTACTTGTAAGCAATAGGGCAATAATATATGAAAAATACAAAATTTTCGTATTTCTAGAATTAAACAAAAAGGATTTGCATATAAAAGTGCTAATGCCTACAACTAGTCCATAAATTGCTAAAGTTTCCATAAATTCCAGACTAAGCAATAAAGTACCTCTTATTTTTAGGAATTGGGTTCAAGCTTTCCCTAGCCCCTTCTCATCAATGGTCTCCTAAGGCATACAAAGCAGTGTGATTCCTTCAATAAATTCCTACCTCTCTATCTATTTTTGAGATGTTTGGACAGAAGAGAAATGCTATCCTCACTCGGACCAAGACAGAAATATTACTAGTTCAAATAACAATTAAAGTGAAGCATGGTCAGGAACGACAAATCTCTTTACGATAACAGATCCATTTTGCAAGTCCGTTTGACAACCCATCAGAAGCAAGACATGCTTGTAAATGAAATTCATGTCAGAAGTTAAAGAGAAAATGAACCACTCACTCTCATCAAATCACTGAAATATATATCCTCTGTTGCCAGTTCATCCATTGTTCAATATACTGGAGGATTGAGCTTTAAGCCTCCTTTTTGGTACTTCAGTCAACAAAATAACCCAATGAGGACACCATTACAAGTGCCAGAGATCAGACAGCATGGCTCCAAACAAAACAACATTCAAAGTGCTATGAGAGTGCTCTGAGTACATGCAATGGACTCAAATAAAGCTTCTTTTTTTTTTTTTTTTTTTTTTTGATTAGTCAAATGAAGCTTAATTTAATCCTTCACTCTTTTTTATTTTATTTTATTATATTATTGCTATTATTATTATTTTGTTTCCTTTTTGGATCGTGTTATTGATTGTTGGCAAGTGGATGCAGGGAATGGCTTAAGCAAAGTGGCTTTACGCCTGTAACCAGCCATGATCTTATCGCCTTTTCTTTTTCCAAAAGGCCAGACAATGCCTTTAGCTCATTCACTATTCAAGAGCATAGAAATTTTATTTGCGTAAACTACTTTCATATCAAGAATACCCTTTTTAATCAATGAGCTATTTGTCAAAATTCAACATAAGCTTCTGGTTTTAAACTGTATTTTTTTGCATAAGTTTTCAGATAAATCAAATGTATTCTTACATAAAAAAATGAAGGAGTTAATCATACCAGTAGCGAATAGACTTGCATTGGGAGCAGCGGGTTGTAGCTGGAGCAAAGCATCTGGCGCACTCATGTATTCCTTTCTTTGATGAAGGTACAAGAGGGATAACACTAGCAGCAGCCATGGCTTCTGCCCTAAGAGCTTCTTCAGCAGCCAATTGAGCAAGTAAACTTATCCTCTCTTTCTTCCTTGAAGCCTCACTCCATTTTCCTAGTAAGATGTAAGCAAGCAGAGGAAGCACAACCAAAACCAAGAATAAGGCAGGTAAATCAGTTTCTCTTGGCTCAAGCATGTCCCCACTAGCATGCTCATGTCCAATTTCCTCTCTAAATGATTTCCTAGGGGTTGATCTCCTTTAGCAACACAAGCTCAAGTGAATTAACATCCAGGGTCAACAACACATGTCACAACATGAATCATGCTCTGCCATCTAAGCCACTCAAGTTTTCTGCTTCACAAAATTTACAGATAGCAACCAATGAAAAAAAAGTCAATACAATATACTTCAACAACATAAAGGATGCTCAAGCATCACTACTTATATATATATATATAGTGTGTGTGTGTGCGTGTGTAGACAGAGAGAGAGAGAGAAACACATGAACACACAGTGGGAAAAAGAAGAAGAAAAGTTTTGGCATCAATTATTCGGCTTCTAAAATGAGAAAGTAAATGCATTTTCTTCATTTTCATACTTAAAATATAACGTGGGAAAAACCAACTTAATTTGTCTAAATTTGCACAAAACATGAAAAGGACAGTAGCATTAGGGCTATTGTTGCAATAAATTCTTTTAATATAGTTATTGGGCCTTTACTTCAATAGCTATTAAAAATAAATAAATAAAATGGGAGGGAAGGGAAAAGGTTTAAAGAGTAATTTAAAAATTAAGCGTAAGGGATAATTTAAAATTTTCAAAACTATGGATGGGGGCATGACCCTATGTGTTCCCCTCTATTCCACAATTTCTGTACGTGCGAGATTTGTCCAAGGCATACCAATATAAATCTTAATAAGCAACAAGTTAGATGCAATCATGGTTATGAAAAGAAAAAGAAAAAATTGCAAATTCCATATGAAGCAAGATTGGAACGTGTTTCTTATAAGTGCAATCAAGGAGTTCTTTTACCAATTTTTTGGGTTGATTCAAGCTTTGGTCAATGTTATTTTAAGTTTCTCAATACTAATATGGTATTACTATATTGCATTATGTTTAATGAGTAAGGATATTTTAACATATTTCAAATTTATGGACACTAACTGTAACGGTGGTTCATAAATCTTATTTCATGTCAATCTGTGTTATTTATATATTATTTTGGATGGTTTCATAGATTTAGAATAATTTTAATTATCATATTTCAAAGTTTTCTATCTTGGAATAGTAGTCCGGGTATATAAAGACATAAACTATTTTAATCAATTAAAAGAATTTTGTTTAAAGATTTCGAGAAGGTTCAAGCTTTGTCTGATGTGTGCTGATCAAAACATGGGATTAAAGCCTAGGGAAGTATCTGAGCCAATTACTTTCCAAACCAAGTGTGAGTTTAAGGTGATTGGAGGCATTACTCTTGTGACAACAAGAATCCAAGGTGGATGGATTGTCCTAGATGGAAACTTAGGCCGACACAAAGATAAGAGAGAAAATGGCAGTTGAACAAGTGATTCCTCTGACATAACTCTATAACATAGCACATAGTTTCAAGAGAAAAAATTCTAACTTTGAAAGTCATTAAAGAAAGTTGTAATCTTTTGAAATTTGGGTGCGCAGCGTGCACTGTGTCTTAAATGCATGCTAAAGGCCATCTTTATATAGCCTTCAGAGGGGATAGGTTGCAGAGACAAGGATTGACAGGCAAGAAAGAATATCGTGCAAGTATAATTTATATTGCAGATAGATAAGACAACACACGTAATTCCTACGTAACTTGTGAAAGACATAATTAAGACCAAAAACAAGTCGTAGATATAGTTACCTGGAGTATTAGGTAGGTCAGTTGATTAATCTGGAATGCATTAAATGCAACAAGAATAAACGGGACAGATGGAATATTTAATGCAATTTGATATCCTAACAACATAGTTGTCAAACTTAGGAATCACTTGTTTCTCTCCACCTACGCGCGCTCAAACGAGGTTGACACTTCTCTTGAGAAGATCTCCCTCGTCGTCCCTAAGTTTTAGCAACCAAGCCACATGTCCCCTGGGATACCAAAAGGTCATTTGCGCACATGCTCAATGCAAACGACCCCTATAAGCACATGAACCTTCTTAGTCCTACTACAACTTGGGTGGTTCACATTATATATTTGTAACCCTATTGTTCCTTCCATGCTCTTCCTTTGAAGTCCCTTTGATATGGAAGACACTTCAGGGTTCTTCAGTAGTTCCTCAATATTTTTCTTCAATCTGTCTTTTTTTCTCCAGGGAACAGCCTCAAGGGTGAAAGGTGGCTGCATAACCCAACTCAACAAACTCTTTCCTACTACTTGGTGTCAGCTACATGAATTCTATAATTCTATTCCACTCCATTTAAAGTTATAGCCTCAGTCAAATCATATTTTATCATATCTTTCCTTACCAACTCTACCTATGTTAATTTTCATGTTCCTCTTCCCCTAGAATAATCCTCAATGTGAACTATGTCACTCTTCCTAATTGATGCACTTAGTGATCTTCTTTGCACATGTTTAAACCATCATAATTGATTCTCTCATTTTACATTCAATTAGTGCTCTACTTCAAATATCTCACAAATGTGTTTATTTCTAATTCTGTCATTTTTTGTCTTGCCACACGTCTATCTCAATATTCGCATGTCTGTCACACATGCTTTATGCATATATTGTTTCTTACTTGTGCATACACCCACAGTATGCAAATTTAACAACCTTCCTTCAATCTTTTTAAAACCCTAAAACCATAAGCTTTCCTAAACCTTAAAAACCATAAACTCAAATATAGATAACATTGCTGAGTTTTTTAGCTTTGCCCTAGAACAACGTTTTCAAAAGGAGACCAACAGAAGCTCTAGACACAAATCCAGCACCATACCCATGTTGTTTCATGCCATGCTCGACACGGAAACAACCTGCTATAAATTGTGTTCACACTATCACACCATATGTGCTTGTGCATAATTAGTGGAGAGAGCAATTCAAGAAATGGATGCCTTGACGACTGGCAGACAATTCAACCAGTTGATAATCATGAACATTAAATAAATTAAAAAGAAAATTCTACAGAATGGTTATTAGGCAAATTACATTGTATGGAGCATAATGTTGGGCATTGAAAAAGACACAAGAACAACGCATTCATGTAGTGAAACTGAGGATGCTACAATAGATGATAGGAGTAGCTAGAAGATATAAGATTAATAATGAACGTGTGAGAGGAACACTAGGTATAGCTCCTATAAATATTAAAATTAATGAAAGTAGACTTAGGTGGTATGACCATATTCAACGTAGACCCAATAATGCACCGATTAGAAGAGGAAGAATTGTTTGTTTAGAAAGTACGGACAAAGAGGCCGACTAAAACTTACAAGAAGTAATTAAAAACGAATTTAAAAATTAAATCTACAAGAATACATGGCCTATAATATGAAAGAATGGAAAAGGAGAATTCATGTGGTCAACCCCATCCATATGCCATATGTGATAAAGGAAATGATTGATGATGACGGTGATGATTGTCAACACGACACATGGTATGTATTATTTGACATTTTTGGGTTCTTGAGAAACACATCTATTTCAGTTAAGCTTCTGATCTCTCCTCTATTTCTCATGCCAAACAAATACTCTTTCCTTCATTTGTTCAAAAATTTGCTTTCACAACTATAACCGAACTAAGCGACTTAGGGTTTATGCTACTAAATCTCTTCTTGTTTGTCAGGTTCATAGTAGCATTTTGAAAAAATAATTCACCTATTATAAATCCAACTACATGTACAAAGTTTCCCAGAGTATATAACATTAATTTCAATACACAAGTCATCAATCAAACCAAAAGCTTCTGAACAATACATAAACTATTGTAGCATTTAAAGAACATCATTTTATAATGACATAAAAGAAACTAAAAATTTACTCCCATTTAAACAAGCCCAGTATTCAAAATGAGAACTCCAGTGAAATCCAACCAACAAGAGATCTCTTCTTCCACAATTTTAAATCTATTCTCACAAAAATTCAAAACAGGAACCTACAAAATCAAGGATTTTGAAGGGAAAATGCTGGAACCCAAGAGTAGCATAAGACTTCCCAATCTTAATTTTGCCATAAACAGAAACCAAAAGTCCAGACCCTTTTGAAGATTTTATAAGTACAAACAAAATCCAGTACTTAAAACCTAAAATTCAAATATAAATAATATGCATATGCATGTACACATTTATGTATATAAATGATAAAATCGTAAGCAGATTTGCTGGGTGGTTTCAACCAATCATACCTTTTTAGCAGAAAAAGAAAAAATCTCAAGAAAAACCCAACAACAACTTCACCATTTTCTTCTCCATCCACGCACCAAAAGATTCTTTGATTCCTCAAAATGGTATGAACACAGTTCGTCCCTCTGCTACATTGGCCTCACTTCACACTTCGCATCCGACCCTCTTAACTTTTTCCAGATTAAGAAAATCTTGTGTCTTAACACTCACACCCACATTAAATTGCCTTACGAAAACATCCGGACACGTGTCACGTGATTATTTGTTGATAACCCACAACTCGGTGGGACCTACTTGGGCATCATGTGAGGACTGAAATGAGCCATTTGATATCCGGAGTATGGAATGGCGTGAGTGTGAGAATAATCTTTGTGTCAAAAACAAAAATAATTTGTTTAATCAACGCCATGTGTGTGGGGGTAGATTTCTTCGGTGGGGTCCGTGAGATGAAATGTTGGTCCTCAATAATTAAACTGGGTGGCACGTGTAAGGCCATGATCAGCTAATACCACGAATACTTAAGCAGGCCCAAGGATTTGAATTGGGGTAATAGAAGTACTGTATAGAACTATAGATATATGATATACATGTGTGTATATTGTAGTAGTATATATTATTGTAGGGTATATATGTGTGTTTTATTCTTCCCTTTGACAGTTTGACCATTGACGTGTATGGGGAAGCATGTGATCTGCATAGGAAGTGGTGGTGCTGTTTTTCTCCTTGGTTTTATTCCATCCCCCAATAGAAGATGCTTTGTTATTGACAGTACTGTTCTATTTTTGCTTTTTGGTCCATTTAGTTACTATTTTACTCAAAATCTGTCATACCACAAAATGAAAATACGAGTCAAATCTTATTTTTTTTCAGTGGAAAATTTGAGTCAAAGCTGTTCTAAGGCAATGTTAAAGTTTTGACTCGTGTCAAAAAAAATAAATAAATAAAGTAATAAAAAAAATCCACCATTAAAATAGTTGCATTTTGTAGATAAAATCAATTTATAGACAGATAGAGGGATTATAAAAAATAAAAATAAAAAGAAGGACTAGTGAAGCCACTCACATATGCTGCAAGCATGATGATAATTTTGAAAATTCAAAATTTATGAGGTATGTGTGTGGTACATACATACATACATACATATATATGTGTGTGTATATATATATATATATACAGTATAATTTATCAATTGGAGGCACTCCACTCTCCTCTTATTTAAAAATAAAATTACAAAAAAAAAGTCTCTAAACGCAATGCTTTGCTTTTATATTTTTAAATATCACAATTGCCCTTCATCTTTTTCGCCTCATGTTGCCTCTCACTTTACATTAAATTGGAATAATGCAATGAAAATTATGCAATATTTGGAAGTGAGAAAGGTCACGCATGATAAACGCGATTGATAAATATTCAAAATGATTTGTAGTTGAAATTTATTATATTGACATTTTTGTATCAGAGTAATGATAAGAGTGGCAGATAAATCTGATTAAATTTATATAAATAATTGTTGATGTCATCGTAGCATCAGAGATATTAGTGACATTATAATGACGTCAGCCTCTAACCACATAAATTAGTCGAAGTTGACCGGCTTTCGAACTCCAAATCAATATCCTTCGCACCGTTATATATTTAAAAAATAATAATAAAATAAAAACTGGAAAAAAAAAAAAAACTACATGCAGATAATATTTTGTATGTCAAATGTTAAGTGAATAATCATAGATAAATAAAAAAATAAAAAACCAAAATGTTTGTTACTTTTCATTCCATATCTGTTACTTTTCATTCCTTAGGAATGCCAAAACTATTTGGGAAAATAAAATTTAGAACTCCATGCCAAATATTTGGTAAAGATAAAATATGTTTTACCATTATATAAATTTCCTAAACTACTCTTATTGATTTCCCATCCTGCAAAATATTATAAATGGGAAATTAAAATTGTAATGATTATTTTATATTTTCACTTCTTTTGCAAGGCAAGAAGTGTTAGAAGTTAGATTAATAGATGCAGAAAGTCGAAATCTAGTACTTCAAAATTTAACAAAAACACTGATCCACTAAACTATCAAGACATTTATTTATATTTTCATATTTGACTGTTCAAACATCTATAACTTCAACATTTTATTCCTCTCCAAAATTTAATTCTTGGAAGAGGGCAAAAGGTGGTCCGCAAGCTAGACATTGGATACTTTGAGATACAGTCCATGAAATTTGAGGGTAGACTAATTTACAAGTCTACAAATATGGTTAACATGGCACTTGTAACAGAAGGGGACACTCACCTGCCAACTGTGTAAGGTTGAGTATGATCTAGAATTTAATACCATAAATCATTGCAAATATGACTAATATAGAAAGAGTAGCAGGTGTTCTCCAACAACCATATTGCATAGTATTTTTTATATATATTTATTGTTGCTGCATTTGTTAGTTAATTCTACTTAAAAATTCACAATGGAGTTGGACTTTCCTTATATAAAGAGAGGTCCACTCTCTCACCAAACAAATTCACAAACTTATTATAAAATGGTAACTTTTGATGTTCGTCAAAGGATAATCTGGTTCTATTACTAATCTTGGATGCCTTTTCATGATTTCTAAAAGATAAAAGATTTGGCATACCCAAACAAATTCTACTCAATAATTTAAAACATTATTGTGCATTAAAAATAGTATCATTTGAGCTTGTGATGCTGGCTTGAATATGTTAATGGGCGTGACCAATTCCATATTTTAATAGAAATGTAATCTCAGAAATTTAACAAGTCTACAAAGATGGTTAAAATGGCACCATTTTTTATTTATTTATTTTTTTTTTGGCCAGAAATTTACTCATACACTTACTTTTTGTCTCTATAAACACTTGAATCTCAATTTTTTATTTTAGAAGATGAAGAAATACAACTAGGCCACAAGGACGTGCATTCAACTAGGGATGGCAATTTGACCCGGCCCCCACGGTTACCCGCCCCACCCCGCACCGTTTTTGACGATTTTGGGGGACCATTTTACTTATTTGACGGCCGCACAGGTTTGGTGTGGGGGCGGGGGGAGGTCGCCCCGCATCGCCCCGCCCCGTTTAGATAGGTAAATTACTTAAGTACCCATATTTCATTAGTATATATATTTCACACTATATATTTAGTACCCTATATAAAATATTAAAGTAAAAAATGAATTTGATTAAAAATATATTTGCAATGGTAAATAATTGAAGATGAGGGGGAAAAAAAAAAGAGAGCAAATCTATTTCAACAATAAATAAATTATGGTCTTAAACGGGGCGAGGCGGGTACCCGTGGGGGTAAAAATATTAAACGGTTACGGGAATGGGGTGGAAAGTACCCCCATTTTTGTAGTTTTGGGCGGAGACGGGGGCGAAATTTTTAAACAGTTGTCGGGGCGGGGGAGGGTACACCCACCTAAACCCGCCCCCGTTGCCATCCCTACATTCAACCAACGCTCATAATTTTATTTTTTCTCTTTTGAAAAATAAGTTTAGACTTGGTTGAACACACGCCCATAATTGAAGGCCCTTGTGGCCTAATTGTACTCTAAAAGAAAATTAGTTTGGACTTGATTGAACACAGGCCCATAGCCCTTTTGGCCTAATTTTACTCTACACCTTAAGTCAAAAAAGTGTGTGAGTAAATTTCTAAAAATTAAAAATTTAAATGAGTCGAATCAAGTGGTGACTTAATTTAACACCGATAAGCTTGACCAAAACTTGATACTTTGTTGATCTGAACCACATCAAATGGACAAAATAATTATTATTTTTTTTTTTTTGGGGGGGGGGGGGACTTTAGATCCAATTTCAGTGTTTAATGAGATGGGCTGAATCATGGACTAATTTAATTTAGTAAAAAATGTTAAAATTTCCGTTGCCGGGACTTGAACCCGGGTCTCTCGGGTGAGAGCCGAGTATCCTAACCACCTAGACTACAGCGGATCATGCTTCTTTATTTCTGTTCAAATATTTATATTTATAAATCTCGTAACCCACGGTCATAGGTAAAGAATGTGAGCAAGCCTATGTTAACACCTACCCGAGATATTAATTAAAAATATTTTTAAAAACTTGAATATAAGAAGCCAAATGTCTTGTAACAAAAAGAGAGGATTTTATGTTTCTTGAAATTATGATAAGAATGATAATGATTATGACTCGTCTTGGTGGTATAATCTATAATGCTTCAATTTAAGTCATATAATCCTTCTTGATTTCGTTTTATGTAACTTAGCTCTAAAGGCTTCAAAATGTATATGTTTGTTAGTTGTTCAACAAAAAAATAGTAAAAAAAAAATGATTTTTTTTTTTTTTCCTTCTCTCAATTGTAAATAACTGTGGAGAAGGATGGAATACCCTCTCTCAAAGAGGCCACTCAACAGAAAGAGAAATGAAGAGGGCTACCACATGTCAAGTACTCGGCAATAGTGTGTATATTTTCTCTTCCACTAAGATGGGATTGACATGTTCCAAGATGGGATTCCTAAGGGGCAAGTTGAGCACATTTAAAACTTTCCTTCCTCTAGACTTTTAACAGCCCGGAAAACGAAAGAACACTAGTTAATGAAGTGGAAATTCTAGAAATTAAAACTGCCAAATGGACCATACCAGCAATACTGATCAAATCAACCAAGCATTCTTGTGATTTTACTCGTATGACATATGAATACCACCACCACATAACTATATATGATATTTGTTACGCAAACTGTAAAGTGAATTGCAAAGGGCCTTTTTGCAACTAGTCACACACACACACACACACACACACACACACACGGAGGAAAAGATAAACTGTCCCAGCCAACCTGTTTCATCTTCTTCATTCAAAATTACTCCGTATAATCAATTTTACCCTTTTAGAGGTAATTGTAAATCTGTATGCTCAGAACTAACAAGTCTCATCTGCAACATGAATTCTCCTTGTCCAGTGTAACTAAATAGTCATGGGTCAAATTTTCTCACACAAAGCTCATACCGCTATTGCGACTTTGTATTCGGATTTTCGGAGATTACTTGATGAACTCGTCATCCTGTCTGGTAAAGATATGAAACCACAATCCCTTCAGGACTTTGACATAGACCCAGGCAATGGATTTGTTGAGTTCATCTGGTTACTATTATGCTATCATTTCATTCTAAATGCCTTTCATCACACCACAATTATGGCCAAAGCTATAACATATCATTGAATGTTCAATACCTCAAATAGATAATGGAAGAAAATAAACATCAAATAAATAGAAGACATTAGCTAAAAATTAGATCTTTATCCATTTGTGAACATGTTAATGCACATGAAACAACCCAACAAAAAATGTTGTTGCAAAGTATAACAAAATCATATCCAATTAGACCCTTGCGGTGAGGCAGCACCACAAGGAAAAAATGAGGGCGCAAATTCATTTCTGCATCATCTGGTCAAAAAAAAAGCTCACAAGGCTGTTTTTCATTTTGAAAAGCATTTTCTTATTTTGCAATAATCTAATTTTTCAGTTTAATCCTACCAATAAAATCTTATGGAACTGTTTGTGCTACTCTGAAGTTGGGCCTCTTGAGACTTGGGGAATAAATAATATGTTACTGAAATAGAAGTCTTACCAAATGAACCATAAAATACAAGGAATATATGAAAAACGAGGAGGAGATATATTTTTCGTTCTTTTGGTCGGTAACTCCACCACTTAACTCACTCACACACATGCCCACTCTATTGTCCCAGAACACTAAACCCTCCTCAACCTTCCATTTGAAATGAGGATGAGATATCACTAGAGCTAAATATTAACAACAAAATCATCAAAAGAATAAAGCTATCAACATTGCATGCCATTGCCATCATACCCGCTATAACGTTGCCTGACTGGTATTTCCTCTTCCTTCCTCAGTTTTAGATTCTAGTTGATCCTGATGAGCCACATCATAAGTTGCATGGAGACCAACAAACAGGTAGTAAACTAGCATTACAGCACTGCATATGAAGAACCTCCAAAATGCTTCCCTACCTAGAGATCCTATCAGAAACAGATTCATCCCAATTGACAGTGATGGCAACCATGGAACCAGTGGAACCCCCCAAACCTTTGGAACTCTCTGCTTCGGAAGCAATACCAATCCCAATGTACCCAAAAACCAAAACAGACCAGCCACTGTATAACCAATCCATCCTCTGCTATTTGAACTCCAAATAGCTGTTATCCCAATCGACGAACCAAAGATAACCACTAAGCACACAATAAATTTGACCAGATCCCCCTGTTGAGTAACACCCTTCACATAATATCGCCTCACAAGCAATGCAACAGCCATGAGCATAAAAATGAAAAGTGTACTTAGAGATAAAACACTGGACAAGACATCTAAGCTGGAGAAAAAACCAACAATACAACTAAGTGTGGTGGTCAACATAGTAGCATAAATGGGGGTTCCAGTTTTTGGATGAACCAGAGCAAACCAGGGCGGAATCATATGAGCCCTCGCAATCTGAGTTGTGTATCGAGCTTGTCCCATAGACCCAACAAGCAAACTCGTAGTCATTCCCTTAAGAGCAACAATACTCACCAAATACTTGGCCCATGTCATGCCAATTTGTTCAAATGCAACCGAATAGGGTGCATTGACATCTATCTGAGTGTAGTTCACCATCATTGTCAGTGCCAGTGCCATCAAGCAATAAACCACAGTGATCATTGACATTGACCCAACCAAACCCACTGGTATATCTCTAGACGGTTTCTTGGTCTCTTCGGCCATGGTTGCAACCATATCGAAACCTGTATAAGACCAGTACACAACTGCTGCAGCCTCAAAAACCCCTTTAGCCCCAAATGGGAAAAAGGGCACCAAATTTGAAGTCTTGCCATGAACAAAGCCAACCACTATAATGAACACAATGACCAGTGAACTCATTATGGAACTGACCCAATTCAAAATGGATGACCCTCTAGTTCCAGTCAGTGCTATAGAATTCACAATTACAAGCACTACAACAGCAAGTGGGTCTAGAAGATTAAAACCTTCAGCAAAAGAACTCACCCGAATTCGGAGGAAGTCCGGGTCGTCATTGATGATACTGGCGAAGTAGGAGGACCACGAACGACCGAGCCCGGCGGCGCCGACAATGGCCTCCAAAAGAATGTTACTTGCGGCAATGAATGCGATGAAATCACCCAATTCGATCCTGAGATAAGAGAAAGACCCACCTGCGACGGGTATTTCGACGGCGAATTCAGCGTAGCAGAAGACAGAGAGCATCGCGGAGAGGCCAGAGGCGGCGTAGGACAGGACGATGGAGGGTCCGGCGGTGTCGTGAGCTTCTTGGCCGGTGAGGGTGAAAATGCCGGAGCCCACGACGGAGCCGAAGCCAAGCCAGATGAGGTCCCACCAAGTAAGGCATCGCTTCATCTGGTTTTCGCTCTCTTTAGGGAGATCGACGAGCTCGGTGTTGTCGTCGGAGCGGCTAGCGAGGCGGTTCTTGAGGCGATGGATAGTTTGGGAGAGTGAAGCTCTGTATGTGGTGCAGTTTTGGAAGGAGGGTTCAGGGAAAAAGTCATGCTTGCTGAATCTCCAGTAGGGTTTTGGTGGCTCCATGGTGAATTGGAATTGGGGGTTGAGTGGAGTGCTCAGATCTTGTATTGGGTGAGAGTTGGGGTTTGTACTGAGCACCATCTGAGTATGATTCATGTCTCCTCTCCCAAGAAGGAATGACAGAGGGAGGGAGTTGAAAAGAGAGTAGGTGCGACCCGTTGCATTCGGAACTTTTACTTCTTGGGTGGGTTACTATATTCGAGTTTGGCATTTGACAATTTGTTACTTTCTCAACAATTTTAATTTTAATTTTATTTTTTCATTTCAGGTAAACAAACGCACCGCACACACCCTTTGTTAGAGTAAGATATAGTTAGGGTGGCAAATTATAACACCAAGTTAAATGGATTTGAATTTGTCATAAATGAATTTGGGTCATAAAATGATTGACACGATTAATTTATTTACTTAATTATATCAGGTTAGGATTAAAAGATATAACCAGTGTAACTTGCTTATGACCTATGTTATAATTATAAATATGACCTATAAAATATGTTATATATTTAAATCTAATTACTGTAGGTATTTAAGTTGTTTTAACATAAACCTTGTTTTGAATATTTGAGTTAATTGTGATAATTTTTTATTATTATTTAGTATTTGATTAAATATTAAATGTCTCGTTTTGATAAACAGGCCATTAAACCGGTTAACATGTTTATCTATTTAATAAACCGGTTAACATGTTTATCTATTTAATAAACGAATTAGATTATTAAATAGGTTGGGTTGGGTTTGAATTTACCTATTTAGTATAATATTTTTAAATAGACATGACACGATTATGATCCACGAACACAAATTGCTACCCCTAAATACAGTATTAGGAGGCTATTAGCTAAATTGAAGTAAATATTGGCCGTGCAAGCATAACAAATCGGGAGAGTTTGGTATGAATATACCAATGACCTGACATACTGAACTCACTCAATATTTATATAACTTAAATTGCTAATGAGCCGTAATTAAACATTTTTTTTTTTTTCAGTTGGAAAATAATTAAAGAGGACAGTTGGAAAACTCCTTTTACCAATTACACTAACTATAATTAATAAGATGCTCTTATTTTTATGGGCATTAAAAATCTAACATTCTAAGGCCAAACTACAATGGATTCCTTCCTATTTTGACCTTTATTCTCTTTTCTTTCTCCCTCTTGTATTTATAATGAAGGGGGATTCTTTTCTCATTTTGACCTTAAATTTTTTTTCCTCATTTTAACTTTTACTCTCTTTTAAAATGAATGGATTCTTTCCTCATTTAGACCTTTATTTTCTTTCTTTACTGTATTTACAATATACTAGTAAAACACACATGCGCAAAAATGTATGTATAATTATAAAGTTAGAAAATTTCTTAAGATAAATATATATATATATAAGAAATTTTTGTATTAGAATTTATTATTTATAAAAATATATTATTTATTGAAGTAAATAGCATTATAAAAAATTAAATATAAAAATATATATATATAAGAAATTTTTGAATTAGTATTTATTATTTATAAAAATATATTATTTATTGAAATAAATAACACTATAAAAATTTAAAATAAATTATAAAAAACTAAATATAACAATAATTTTGTATATAGAATTATTAATTTAGGATTTTACTAGTATATTTTGATATAGAATTGTTGTTACATATTTTTTGAAATAAATTTTATATTTCATCCTCTAATTAAATTTTCTTAATATTATATATTTCCTTCTCCAATTAAGTTTCTTTTTATTGAATTTCACTAGTTTAATTTTTTAATAATATGTATTTCCCATTGTATTTTTAGTAATAGTATAGATTATCGGTATAGATATATAGTTAACCTTCCATTTTCCATTATTATTATTCTTTTAATCTTTTTTATGTGAGTCGTTTGTCACGAAGTGATTCCTAAGACGTTTAGAGTATGGAAGACACGCATGCTGGTTGGCAAAGAGCAGAGTTTGACTGGGAATGGTTCCAGGGAAGGGGCGTGTAAGAGCACATGATGGTACCTCTTCAGAGTTCAGGCAGGTCGACTCGGTTGAGTGCGAGGAGCTTGTCGCTAGTCTTGGACTTGACTATGAAGAAGGGAGTTGGTCATCCCTGCACAAACTGGTCGGGAGCTGGAGCCGTTTCCCTTACGAGACCAAGGCAGGCCGAAACTAGTCAGCATGTATCTTGGGAGGGCAGGTCGTGGTGGTTGACCAGGGCACTTGCGTGAGCTGAAGCAACACCTTTGTGCCGCACGGGCTGTGCTGCTACGCCAAATCTCTAGGCCCGTAACAAATGGTATCAGAGTAAGACTTGGGGTAAAGCACAGTGGGGTGCCCTCTCGTCGATCCGGGAGGGGTCAGAGAACGAAGACGGTGCACTGAAGTTGCGTCAATGAGGAAGAATCAATGCAATTTGAGGGGAGAGCCTCTATCTCCCCAAGAAGAAGCGTCCGTTGAGGTTGCGCACCGGAGGACCAGAGGGCCGCGCGCACCAAAGTTCGTGCTTAGTCCTTGGGTGATGCAAACCATGGTGAAGGGCGAGCATCAAGTCGACAGGAGGCCCTTGCTTGCTCAGGATGTCGCGGAGGCGGCATGGCAGAGAAGAGTCACGTCCTTGAGGAGTGGACATCCCTTTCATCCGAGGCCTATCATTGGGCGAGCATAGTGCAGGGAGCTGCACAAGGAAGCGATGGTGGGAAGGCGAGCATACCGCTTGGAAACAGACTTTGGAAGGGAGTGGACGCAGTAGTGAAGCGCCGCACTGCAACGAGGGCGTCGCAGGATTTGGGTGGGGGAGAGTGTCATGAAGTGATTCCTAAGACGCTTGGAGTATGGAAGACACGCATGCTGGTTGGAAAAGAGCAAAGTTTGACTGCGAATGGTTCCAGGGAAGGGGCGTGCAGGAGCACAAAATGGTACATTTTCAGAATTTAGGCAGGTCGACTCGGTTAAGTGCGAGGAGCTTATCGCTGGTCGTGGCCTTGACTATGAAGAAGGGAGTAGGCCATCCCTGCACAAACTGGTCGGGAACTGAAGCAGTTTCCTTGACGAGGTCAAGGCAGACCGAAACCAGTCAGCATATATCTTTGGGAGGGCAGGTCATGGTGGCTGACCAGGGCGCTTGCTGAAGCAACGCCTTGATGCCGCACGGGCCGTGCCGCTGTGCCAAATCTCTAGGCCCGTGACACGTTGCTCCAAGAGAAGTTAGAGATATAAAAAATTGAAACGTAATTTGAAGATCTTGGTTATTTGGTGGTAAAGAGAGAGAGAGAGAGAGAGAGAGAGAGAGAGAGAGAGATTGGATTATATGAAAATTAAGGTTTGGTTTGGGGTAAGTGATAGATAACAAAGAATAGATGATAGCAAGTTAGAAAGGGAGTAAGTGATTTGTGTCTTGATTGAATCTGGTAAAAATAATTATACTTTTATGTATATAAGATTTAGTAAATTCGTGTTATTTCTTTGTGTAAATTCTTAACCTGACCTGTCAATGATCTGGAATTTAAATTAGAGTAAAACTAATTTAAAATTTGAATTAACAGATCGACAATTTTAATCCTCCGTGCTGTCAATTTTTTTCATTTCGTAAGTTGTAAACCAACATAGATAATATGCCTATTGTACTCAGAACACCAGACATTGAGAATGTTTTTAAGCAAACTACACTTGCCAAGTGACTTTGTTCTTCTCCTCCCTAAAACACAAGATGGCTTTGCTTTTGAAAATCCATAAACAGATGAACATAGCATTGCCATTATATATATATTGTACAATAATATGATCTATGGCTTCCTCTTCTTGTAACATGGTTGGTTAGTCCTTGTTTGATCAATGAGAAACCTGGATGCAATATTTGTACACTGCCGGGAAGAAAAAAAAAAATACATATACAGCCACTGCAGAACAAATAACATAATAGTGAAATGGTGAAGCAATGCGTGTGAAATATTCAGGACAGTTTTTTGTACATTAAAAAGGAAGTTTCAGAAACCTCACGCCGAAAATTAAAGAGCAACATAACACGATAATTCTAAGAAGCTTGAATCACTCGATTTGAACTAATCGTGCTAGTACTTGGCAGAGATGGCCAAAGTACTACTGTAACAAATGAAGCACCAAAACCTATCAGACCTGAAATGGTAAAGCAACCATTTCCTAGCTAGCACAAGAAAACATAACGACGACAAGTCACAGGCAGCAGAGGGTCTCATTTCTGGCCCTTCTTTCTCCACAGGTCTCCGAACATCCTTATACCAGAGCCTTTCCTCTTTCCACTACCATAGCCATCATCTGAATCATCGGCCTGACTAGGTGAACCCATGAAGCCAGCATAACCACCAACTGGAATCTCAAACATGCTGCTAAAATGCTTATCCATAGAACCACATCTGTCAGATATTCTTTTCCCATTCAACTCCACACCTCCAGCAAGCACTGTTGCTGCTGCATCAGCTGCTTTCCTCCATTGCTCCGTCTGTACTCTCATTTTCTTCATTTCCGCTTCCAATGCCTCATTTGCTCCTTCCACAGTTTCGAGTTTCTCAGTTAATACAACTGCAGTAGCTTTACTTTCTCCCAGCTGTTGTTCTAGTTGAGTCAGCCTTATAGTCATTTCCTCTTCCTTGGCTCGAGCTGATGTCATCTCTAAAGATGCTTCACTCAACTGTCTCTTCAGGCTCTCATTTTCTTGACAAAAAACTTCTAGTTCCTTTTCCTTGTCTTCTAAGTTGGCTTTCAAGGAATTTATATCATCATCCTTCAAAGCCAAGTCAACAAAAGACGGCTTCTCTGGCTCAGGAATAGCTGGTGATTCTGTTGATATGCTCACTGGCTTACTTTCAAAATCCTCTTCACTAGTTGGTTGGTCGAGTTTAGCTATAGACTCCATTGTCACTTTTTCCAATGGAACTTCAAAGACGTCAGTTTCTTGCTGGTTCACATCAATAATTTCATATGGTACACTGTTATCTTCTTTGTTTGATTCTTGGATTTCAATTGAAGGAGGCCGCTTCTCTTCAATTTCCAAGGGGTCTTGGGTTTTCTTCAATTTTTCTTGGGCTTCTTTCTTTGCAGCCTCTGCAGAGGCTAACTGTTCCTTCAGAATCTTGAGCTCTTCCTGTGCATTCCCAAGTTGAGATTCTAAAACTGAAAGGCGAGAACCAAGTTTCTTTTGATTGACTGAAGTACTAGATTGGACACTTCTTGGAGATCGATGATCCCCTAGCTTAGGGCTCCTTCCAGCAACAGGTCGTTGCAGCGGATCAGAATTTGATGACGTGGATGTCCTAAGCTGAAGTGGGACTCGGGGAGATTGCCTTTGAGGCATTTCTGATCCCCTATTCCACATAAAAACACAAGTTTCCATTGAAGGCCATTAATACACATTCATAACTTCCGAAGCATATAATATTAATCAAAGGTTAATATACATCTAAATAACAACGTAAACACTGATTGCATTTTGGGGGCTGCCCTAATGGCTCCTAAAGAGATAGTTGCATACGTTAGATTGAACACGACATTATATATGGTAGAGACAATAAGAAATTTTCTTATGGAAGCCGTGAGTCACAGCAGGTGCTTAAAGAGATTATTTTTATCAAAAGCAAAATAAAAACCAGTAAAGGTTCTATACAAGAGAGTGAATTCTAAAGGCATTTCTATGCAGTAATTGTCACAAAAACTAATGTGGTATAAAATTACCAAACTATCAAGTGATTAGTGATGGAGCGGATGCAGTACTGATACAAATACTATGGTAGACAAGTTTGCACGCTGCAACCCAAAGATGGTGGAATAAAGTCCAAGGGGACTCCTACATCTAGTTATGCAGTAATACTCTAGCAGTAGTCACACACTAGTTTTTACAATCTTACACATTAACTTATCAGAAAATTTGCCTACAGTGTTGACATGATATAATTTATAATATTATTTGGATTCAAGAAGCTTGCTTAAACAGGCAGTGCACAAAAATAACAGAGTAATCAAGTATTGTTACAAAAAAAAGAATTCTAAAGCAAATAATTGTGTTTAAGAACAATATAACAGAAATTGCAACTGGAAAAGGAAGCTGCATTAATATCGTAGATTAAATTCTCTAACCTTGATCTTGGCATCTCATCCACTAGAATGCAATTGGTGGAAGAAGAGCAATAAGGACGACTAACCACTCAAGAGCTTGTGATCTGCAAAACTAAAGCCAAGATCAAGGGACAAAATAGGAAAACATTGTTAGGGAAAAAAGCTACCGGTATATACTTTCAAAATGAAGCATCTCAAGGAGCAGCATGACTTGCATACATTCCCAATACATTGATCAAACAATAATCACTGTTATTCGTACTAACTTTATGCCAAAGGGCCATGGGTTTTATGCGAGGGGCAAACCGCTCCATCCCACCTGATTATTCTTTGTTTTTCTTATAATATTTGTGCAACATAGCCTGAGAAGGAATATTTGTGTCATTCAACAAAGACCATATTTTATCACCTCTTGAAAGCAAGGACATACTTTAAAATGCTAATTACACAAACCTACGGGTAAACCATGCTGTGGCATAAAGTACATCCCTTCTAGATTTAGATTTCCCAACCACTGATTTTAAAGTTTGGAAGCACAAGCAGTACCAAGTGTAACTTCTGCTGCTTGAAAGATACTAAGTGGCATAAAGTACACCATTTTTAGATTTTCCAACCAATAAATTTGTGAAGTTTGAATGCAGAGAAGTAGTACTACCTGTAACTTTTGCTGCTAAACATAGTGCAATGCTACACCAACCCTAAGAATATCACATTGGCATGCCTCCATAGTCCATTATGTGCAATTTAGCCATGCATTACTCAATCCTAATAAAACAGCTTTTAAAATGCCAGATTCTTCAAATTCTTAAAACAAAAACCTGGAATCGAAACTCTAATACCATCAAGAAAATCTCCCAACCTGTATACCTTCCTCATTACAATTAATGGGATTATCAACAAATATGGTAAAATGTTTTTTTATTTTTATAAGAGTAAAGTTACTAGAAACCCCTTTTAATATAAAAATAGTGCATATAATCCCCACATAATATTTTCTGTACAAATAACAGTTTTATTTATTGAAAAAAAAATTAGGACTTGAATCTTTCCATTAGTTTTTCTGTCCAATAAATAACAAATACATTCATTTAATTAAAACTAATTTTTAGTAAAATTGATCTACTAAATGAGACCCATCAATATTGGGCCTTTCATTATCAAAATGTACAATTAGCAAGTAGCAACTTATGACATGCCTAATTGACAATATATTAGTTTTCAATAATATGATACATAGTTTAAATGAAAGAAATGATCAAGACCCATCATATGATTTGTCTAATTTAGTAGATGAAATGTATTTAAAAGTCAATTCAATTAAGGCAAGTGTGTCTAGAGCAAAATGTTAAATTAAACATTTTGAAAAACACAGTCCTATAATCCCATTGGCACTTCAATTTTCACTTCTTACACTCCAAATTTTGAATGCACAAAAAATTCACAAATGAAGTGTGAAAAGTTATAAGAATAGTACCAATATGACTACCTTTTGGAAATAGGAACATTGAAGCTAAATCAAACTATGTTTTCACACTTTCTTTCTATTAATAAGACAAATAGTTCATGACACTTGGTTGATGAAGTATACTGTTGATAGCTTCAACCATCATATTCTTTTATCAAAGCAAATTAATGTTTGCTTTATCCATAGACTTAAATGATCAGATTGAAATAATATTTAATACACTTGAACTACTAAATGAACCCCATCAAATGGTGGATTAATTTTTATCATAATGTATTTGATACAGATCTGAAATTTAGTGTGCCAAAACAATATGAGATATCCCAATTGGATAATTTTGGCTAAGTCGAAAAGATATTCAAATTCACCATATGATGAGTCTCATTTAGTAAATCAAGCATATAAAAAAATTAACTCAATCAAAGTTAAGTCTCTGTAGAGGGAAAAAAAATTAGGATGATGAATTAAAGAAAGATATATACCACGTTGATACTACAATTTTTAACTTCACACTCCACATTTTGATGAGAAATAAAATCAAAATGAAGTGTGTCTGATACCAATAAGATTATCCATTAAAAAAAGGAATAAGATTATCCATTAAAAAAAGGAAGAATAGGGTTCAACTGCGGACAGTAGTTACTCTATTGAAGTGTATTTTTTTTTACATAATTTTATTAAATGAAAGCCATAAAATGGTGTATCTCGATCCTTTTTCATCATTTTGCATTTTTAAGAACCTAATCATCAGGCTTAAAACTCTAAAATGTAAATTTCTAACGGAAATTGAAGGTTGCCCTCACTCTTCCGAAAGATCCTTACCCAAAATTATCATTTTTATGCAATGGTGTGTGGGCATATCGGACCACATGAAAATGTATTTCTGATCCTCCTTTCTTATAATAAATACGCCACCATCACTAATGAAAAATTGTTGCCCTTTTGATTAAAATTCTCACAAACTCTGCGGTGAATTTAACATTGATTCGTTGCAAAAAGAATCTCAAATCTGATCTTTGAGGATAGGTATTTATGTCAAATTGTCATCCCACTAATTTTTCGTCTAATTTCGCCTGGAAGCAAGCAGTCATGAAAATATCTTTTTAAATTAAGAAACGAAGTAATAAGATAGATATATAATTAATAAATAATTAAAAGAGAGAGAATAAGGAACATATTTACCGGGAAAAAAAAAAATGGAACAAATGGTCAAAACCAGATATGAAAATGACAAAGTTTATTAAGTACTGTTTGAATCCATACTTTACCAAATAACTAGTTCAAGCAAGTTTTTTTTTACTGTTTCAAAGAAAGCATCAATTACATTATTCAAACATCAAAATACAGAATGAAACAGAGGGGGATCATCAGGTCTCAACTCCCAGCACAACAGAACATACATAATCTCTCTCTCTACAGATTCTAATAGTCCATTTGGTTGCCAAGAAAGCTTAACAAAAGGCAAGAACACATCCAAGCTTGCAACTTTGGCGAAGTTGGAACAGTTGCTTGCAAGATTCCTTCCAATTTTTTTGGGTTCCCACACTTTCTCGGCAACCAAACAGATCTCAAACAGAACACAAAATAAAGAAAATAAACGCAACCCTGGTAGAGAACATATCATTCATTTCATTAACAAAAACCCATGAAAGAGAAGCAGCGGAACAGCAAATAGCATATTAAAGCCACAAGAAAGAAAATGTATCTCACCCCGAAGCCTGTTACAGCTTCACAGACGTGGTCTGAGTGAGAAAATAGCCCATCCGATGAAGACTGAAGAGACTCTTGTTGTGAATACGCAATGACTAGAAATAGAAAGAAGAAGAAGAAACAGCCGCTCACTCACTAGTCTAAAGCTACATTAAATGTAAGAGAAGGGTTTGGTTGAAGTGGGTGGCATTGTATTTACTAGTACAGAAACACCAGTAGAGGCAAAACTCTACCAATTAAAGTAATGGGTGACAGAGATGTTTCAACTTTGAAGTTTGAATTAAAGCAGGTGTGGGATCACTGTATCTCTGAGAAAAAATATTACTATTAGGTCGTTTGTGAGGTCATCCAGGTCTAAGATGATGCTAATTATTAGATATTGGGTAAAGTGCAAATAACCCCCCTGAACTATGGGGAAATTTGCAACTAACCCCCTGAACTATCAAAAATGCAAAAAACCCCTCAAACTATACAAAAAAGTTGCAGATCACCCCATCCGGTGACCGGCCGTCCAAAAATGAGCGCGTGATTCACACGCGACAGACAAACTAAGTTTTTTGGACAATAATGCCCTTCTATATATGAAAATACCAAATTATCCTATAACCACCACCACCGTCGTCTACGACCACCACCACCTTCTGCAACCACCAACATAACCACCACCACCGTCCGCAACCACCAACATAACCACCACGAAACCCTCCTGAACTCATGCCAAAACACACCGTTAAACGAAATCAAACCCACCACCATCACTACCACCTCCATCGGCATCTCAACGGCACATCACCAAACCCAATCGAACCAGTACACAAACCCACAGCCACCACCCCAATCCCGCCACCACCATCACCCGTCATCACCAACCACAGCCTAACCTTCTCTCCATCAAACCCATCACACACCGTGAAACCAAACCCCCACTAACCCACTGCCATCACCCCCTTCAATCACAATCTCTGGTTCTCCCTCGGGAACGAAGGCGGTATGGAACTGCTACTCGGTGGCGTCGAATTCCGGTCTGATAGCGGAGCACTAGTATGGGCGGCGATGGATCCGTATGCGAGCAACGAAGCTTTCAATTGCAGCAACGGCGATCTGTTCAAGTGGAAGCACTTGTGGAGAATGATTGCGGAGTAATTTGGGGTCGATGAAAACGAGAAGTGGGTGACCGTCCCGATCGGAACAGGGAGGTTGGTGGATGAGGCGAAGCTCGGCCGCTGTGCAGCTAAGCCGCAACCAGCCCATCGCCGCGAGTTAACCATGGCCGAACCAGCCCATTGCCGTTCAGCCCACCTTGCTCGCCGGTCCTCTCCACCATCCGAGCTCGTTCCAGCTGTCACCGCAAGAGACGGTGGCGGGGCAGGCGCAGGAGATGACGGCAGCGAGATCCCAGCGGCGACGAGGATGATTTGGGTTTTGACGCGTCGACTCCGCATCGTCACCATAATCGCCGACTTACCTCCTCTTCCGTCACCATAATCGCCGCCGCCGCCACCATCTTTTTCCTTCATTTTCTTCATGATTCAATCTCCAGCCTGATGCTTCTCTCTCTCTTCAATCTCCAATGTTATATGTATATATAAACACATATATATAAATTCAGAAACACACCAGAAATATATATATATATATATATATATATATATATATGTTTATTTATTATTTTATTTCTTTATATATATATATATAATCATAAGGGCAATTCAGACTTTTTATTTTTCCGGTTAAGTCGGTCACCGGAATGGACTGAAATGCAACAAATTCATAGTTTAGGGGGTTTTTTTTAGTTTAGGGGGGTTAGTTGCAATTTGTCAATAGTACAGGGGGGTTATTTGCACTTTACCCTTAGATATTTGATGGTATAATTCAATTCAGATTTAAGTATGGAAATTTCACCTAGGACCATGTCAGAAGTGTTCTAAAATTTATTTTTTTATTTTTATTTATTTATTTATTTTTTTACATGTTTTGGATATTTTTAAGATATGACGGGAATATTTGTAATTATATTTTTTAAAAAAATTGAAAATCAATGCAATTTTAAATATATCATGGGTTAACTAGAAAAATAATATAAATTTAAAAAAAAAAATTTAACAAAAATTAACTCTAAGCTTCAAATTAGTGATTTCCAATATAAAATGAGTAAAAATTATTATCTTCCATATATCATAATATATTATTCTATTAATTTTTTTGATGTTTCCATGTTGTATGTCTGTACTATTTTTTTGAAATTTGTTATATTGTCGAGTTCGCGCGCATGGGGTACCCTAGTACTTCTCTTCGGCCGCCATGACGCTGTTTTTCGCCGGGCCTTTTCTCCCTCGTCCGAATTTTGATTTGGGTAAATTATTTTTGAACTTCGTTAATTTTTCGTTGACTATCCATTAGTGTGCTTGGTAGCACTTGTATCTTTTAAAAAAATTACGACTTTGCCCATAAGGCTAAATTTGTCCGTTTTTAAAACTTCGCTTCTGTATTTTATCTTGAGATGGGGGGGGGGGGGGAGTTATAAGCAACATTAGAATTTTTGGGGGAAAAAAAAATTACATAGGTAAAAATATTTTACTATTTATTATATTCATACAAAAATATATCTATCTAAACTTTTGCCAATTTATTTAAATTAAAAATATATATATAGTTATTTAAACAATCTTTTTATCAAACTTTCCCAACAAACACAAATAATATTTATGCCAAAATTATAAATAAATAAAAAATTAATTAAACAATTAGATTTTAATTTATAAAAAAATAAGAAATTCATGTAATGCTTGCACAAATTAATAATCATTACAAAATATATCAATAAAAATTATAACTATGATAAATAAATAAATAAATAATTTTTAAAAAAACACAAACAAATTAATAAAATAAGAATTTAGATTATTCAATCATCTATTTTTGTTGATATTCAAAACTTCAAATGAAATTATTGTTCTAGATTTTGTAAAAATTAATTTTTTATACAATTCTTATAAAAGCATTTCAATAAAAATAAATAAAAAATAAAAGTGATCGGAAAAAATCGTGTATGAGATGGAATTTTAGGATAATAAGGTTACAGAAATAATAGGTGAAAGGATTTTAAGATAGTCACGTTATGAAAAGAATGAGTCAGTTTTTTATCGGGATTCTATAGTCATTAATTAAATCACTTTCCTTTAGATCATATATAAATTATTTTTTAGGAAAAATTATATTTTAGTGACCAAAATTAAACATAATTGCTATATAGTGACCTTAAAGTCAAGAAAAGGTGAATAGTGACCAATTTTGAAACTTAATTGATATTAAGTGACCATTTGATGATTTATTACCTAAATAGCCTTCTTATAATATATTATTATGTAAGTAGACAAATTTACCCTCTACATTAACCTAAATAAATACTTACTTAAATTGACTAACAAAAATACAACAGATTATTAGGGTGAGTCTCTGAAGAGAAGATCAAGATGGGAGAGAACTGATGATGGATATTATATTATCATTTTCTTCAAGATTGTAAGAGACATGACGAGAAAATTGTAAATTTTCTTCTTATTCATTATTTTCAAGGTATAGTTATTATACTTTACGAGTTGATTTGTCTGAGAGATCTTCCTTAAGATATAAGATTGTAATTTTTAGGGATTTTTAAAATTACTTAGTTATAGTTCAAGAAATAATGACTATTGTTGATTAATTTCGTAATTTTACTAACTGTTAAAGGGTGTTTCAAAAGTATGATTTGCCACTGTAAATGTTATAAGCGTTCATGTTGGAGAGCCTTGAAAAATAAGTAAAGGATGGAAAAGAGATAATGTTGATAAAGAAATTTTAATTTTTTAAATTGATAAATTGTAAACTAAAAAGGAAAATATTAGATGGTTGAGAGCCTTGAAAAATAGATAAAGGGTGAAAAAAAGATAATGTTGGTAAAGAAATCTTAATTTTTTAAATTGGTAAATTATAAATTAAAAAGGAAAAAAAGAAAACGTTGGATTAGAGAGAGAGAGAGAGAGAGAGAGAGAGTAGGAGGATGAATTTAATGACTTATTATTTATATTAGATGTCAATTTTGTCATCTAAAATTTATTTTTAAAATGTTTATTAAACTTTTAAGTGTTTTTGACCAAATTATCCTTAAATGGTCACTTAATATCAATTAAGTTTCAAGATTGGTCACTATTCACCTTTTCTTAACTTTAAGGTCACTATATAGCAATTATGTTTAATTTTTGTCACCAAAATATAATTTTTCCTATTTTTTATCTTTTGTTAAATGCTAATTAAAGAAAGAAAGAAAGAAAAAAATTCTTAGGGGGGCCAAATATAGATTTTATACCATGCCTAGTATATTATTTTTATTTTTACCTATACTAAAAATAAATTCCAAAAAATTAAGGGGGGTTATGGCCACCCCCAGCCCCCCCTTGGCTCCGCCCCTACATGGCTTCATGGGAAGCTATGTTTGTGTCTTAAGGACGACGTATATCTCTTAAAACTTTTTTTGCATGTGAAATGACAATTTTGCTCTCAGGTACATACTTGGTTTATTTTTACCTTTTTTGCTTCCGCATTTTTTTTTTTTTTTTTTTTCTGCTTCCGCATTCCGGATCCGTTATCAGGTCAACTTTCAGGTCACATTGACTTATCCGGGTTGTGAAAATTTGGAATATCACTGGTGGTATCAAGTATTTTTATTGCAATAGTCCATCAAATATCAAATGATTCTGGACCATCTAATAATATTTGTTCTAACACGAGATACCTATATGACATTTAATAAATCTCAATGATTCTGGACCATCTAATAAATCTCAATGAAAGATGATATTTCGGCCCCATTTATCAAAGTAAAACAATAAACCTCAATATTCGGAATGTCCTTTCAATATCATGACTATCAATCTCATATGTTAAAAAATAATAATAATATATATATTTTTTAAAAATAAAGAACATCTTTCTCTTAATATTAGTGATTTTATTCACGGTTATACATATATTTTTCAAATTTTATTATTTATATATATATATATATATATATATATATATATCCAACCAAAAAATAACATATTTGAATTTCAGAATACTTATATGTGATACCGCCACAACACCTATCGGTGCAGTATCAGTGCTTCCTATCTCTTGGTCCATTTACTCCATTGCAGCTCTTTTTATAAAATAAAATAAAAAATCTAAGCAAACAGATTCATACTTAAAATACAGACTGAGAATATCGAAGAAGCCTCGGATCCCTTTTTATTTAAGACTATTTTCTTGTTTCACTCACACTTGTTTGGACAACGCTAGCTACAGTCAATGAATGCATTTTAAACTTTGAATTTACCTTTCCAACTTTCAACAAAGTAAAAAAGTTTCACACTTTTACTACACGAGAATAAAGAAAGGTTGAGATCATCACATTTCTGTCACGTCAATTTGTCCAAAAGTAATGTCAGTCCCTTTTGGCTCTCCCTCAAATTATTACTATTACTACGTATATCAAAAAATTTAAAGTTTTATCCACACAAAATATTTAAATAGTTGAAATATTTATTAAAATGTGCAATATGTTAACCTAAAAATAGATGATCAAAGTGTCCTCGCTAAGACTAGGCATTACATTATGTACATGTATATATAAATACGCTTCCTTTACTACACGCCTTAGAAGGAAATATCTCGAAAGTATATGGGTAACTGTTATCTGTATTTAATATATGTATTTAAATAAATTTTCCTTATTTATTTAAGACAACCAACACCACATTCTGAATTTGTTATTTTTTCCCCAGTAAGAGATATGTCTGAATTGTCAATTTTTAGTTTTTGAATAAACTATACAGATCCAAAATGATTATGGAGTAGTAATTTTTAAATTTGGGTGGGCAATGTGAGAGAACCAAGACAAGTAAATATGCTAAAGCTAATTTAGTAATTAAACTAGCAAGAATATAGGTTGTGAGGTCCATGACATTAAAGAGGAGAGGATTATGAATGAATGAATGAAACCGATGCAGTAAGGTAGCAATGCATACGAAGCCTGCTAAAGACAGAGACATCGCATGTGATTGCTTAAATGTCTCTCCAACTACTCCCAACCCCCCTTTACTTCATTACTCTCTATATAATCCTCCCTAATTCATACACAAAGCTTCTAGGCACTGCGAATTCGACTCCCCTTGTTCTTTTATTCATCGCTTCCACTCATCCATCTGATCAATTCTTCTTGTGACATTAAAGAACAAAAAGTGATGATCGCTTACACGCGTGCACATACACACCAGCCACCTAATGCTGACTATGTATAACAAGAGATTCATTTATTACGTGCCGACATTTCATTAAATATTCTCGTGGTTAGTTTGGTCAAAAGCTAATGGCCGAAGCAAATCTTTGTTGCTTTATGTCAAACAAAGTGGAAAGAATTGCTTTTTCCCATTAATGACTATATATATATATATATATAAACACCCATCCAATTTACGTAGAAATTTAATACTTCGCGATTGTACGTCAATCATTTGTTGATTATTTTGATACATTGAAATGAAGGTGACAGGGACACAAGATGGCCAAGCAAGGAATTAAAATCATATCATGTGCATTGGTCTAGTGCGGGTTTGATAGAGATGAGTGGTATCCACAAAGTGCGGAGTAATCGCCATGCTCTCTTGTGCACTATAAATCGTTTTATGCACATGAGAGAATCCGTATTCACCAAGCAAGATGCTGAGGTTTCATATTATCGGTCTCTAACATACCTGGTACCATGCAATTTCTTTCTTCTTTAAAAGTACTTGGATTCGTTATATGTGCCTCTTATGACAGAATGGTAGGGCAAGGATCCTTTCCCTCCAAGTATTTTTCTGACATCACATGGCACCAGAATTTAATGACGTGGAACCATGTGTATCATCCCAAAACAACTCCAAGAAGACCTAGTCCCAAATATAGGGCACTTTTTTTTATCTACTTTGTGCCATGAATTAATAAGGTCAGACTTGGGCAACGTCCCAAAAAAAAAAAATTTCTATTTTAGATGTTTGTCAAACCGCATTCATATAGAGCGCAAAACGAATGCCATGGGTACTCTGCAAGACCATTTGTCCAAGAAAAGGGATCTCAATCATTGTAAATGGCATATCTCGACAACCTTCCATTCACTAAAATAATATCTGTTCCGTAACATCTGTATAGGGGGGAGAGAGAGAGAGAGAGAGATACCTTGGCCCGGAAACTAGTGCCATGCAACTCCTGGTGCACTTGTTCTTGCTCGAGCTTCAGCTAGCGAAACAGCCATAGCCAGCATCATCTGCTCCTCAAAGCTCTCTGGAACAATGGGCCCTGCAACAGTTTGGAAGCTGCCTTCAATTTCATCTTGTGGCGGCATTGCAGCAATCCTACCAGCATCTTCTGCTGCCAAAGAACTTGCATGCCTTGTCTCTACTTCAGCCACCACTGATTCATGATCAACACCCCATTCTCTGTCATCCCCAGTCACCATCATCCCGCCATGGGGTGAGACCTCAATTGAGCTCCCTGCACGAGGAAAATTCTCACCCTCTTGCACCTCTCTATTGGAAAACCTGCTAGAGCTAGGAAGCATGTTGGCCGACATATTTCCACTAAAGTTACTGGAGGATTCTCCATCCATTTGCTGTCGCTCGGCAAGGGCAGCAATTGCACAAGCCAGTCCACCAGATGGGGATGACGATGATTCAGCTAATGGTGCCATGGCTGCCGAGACACGGCTATCTTCTGTTATGTACTGTTCTGACAGAGCAGTGTCACCATAGGCTGTATTTCTCTGTCGACCATTCTCCTGTCAATGGAACAGAATAAAAATGATGATCCAATTTTTCAACCCCATACACAGAAAGAAGAAATAAGATCAATTTGTGAACATTATAAACAGTAAGCAAAACACTACATGCTACACCATCATTTGGGTAGCAAGATTTTTCTAACTATTAATGCCGTAAATGACTGCATGATGAATTGCAGTAATCTTTTAAAGGCTACAGTTAGACAAGAATGATATTGCAGAGAATGAGAAATAATTCTCTATAGATCTCAAACTTCTACATTTTTGGAACTTTTGTACTTGGTATTTTCCATGCCTATATCAGAAAATAGCCAGTCATATGCACATATGAGACTGTCAAATTAACTAATACCAGTCGATGATTAGAAAGACCGAGGGAGGAATGCATTATAAGAATAAATATAAGGATCGCCCACAACCAGGAAATACATAGGAAAAAAGAAGTCAGTCTTGTGAAGAATAAATTTATGAACTACCCACAACAACAAGATACATAGGGGACAAAGGGCGTATATATAAACATCAAGACATAACTCAGGTGCAAAGATTCCAAAATGGACCCCAAATAACGAGGCACACAAACACACACGACTTACATGCAGAAGTTTGGAATTTGGAAATCACCATCAAATTGATTCAATTAAAATGGTTCCAAGGGTCAAAATTTCAATTTAATATAATATAATAACCATGCCTCTTCTTTCCGTTCACCAATATACAACCAGAGTCATGCACTTTAGTCAAATGATGCATAGTAACTGTTTGAAGTTCAAATGAAAAAAATTCAGTCAATGTAATTGATTCAGAACAATACCTGAATAGACAGCCAGATAGCTTCCATGACCATTATGTCCTCAAGATCCAGGTCAAATTCATCATCTCTGCACACATGGACAGTACCAGAGCAATTAATTCTAGCATGGCAAGTAAATCGTCTTATTAAACCAAGCCAATTGAATTAGTCACTCAAGACACATGTTAGAAAATATGAGCCAATAACAGCTAGCTTCACCCCACGATTATAGGCATATTCAAAAATTTGGGCCTGTTGTCATAAATAAGAATAAAAAATCTATCCTGACAGAAAGGTACTTATGCCATGACTTGCGAGTGCTGATAACATAGTTAAAGTATATCAGGTATATCATACCCAGCTCTGCTACATAAGCGGTTAGAAAAGGCACCCATAATTATTTGATCACAGCAATAGAATTCCAGAATTCCACCTTTTCTATATCATACTTGACCTTCCAACTTCAGACAAACCTCCTCTTCTATAATTCTGTGTGTTACAACGTTTCTCAGGAGTTAGATACAACAATTTTGCATCCAGTTATGAATTTGTTTATGGTTACAATTTGGTTCATTAGATAGACATGCATAAAATACAATATATTCTTTTAGTAGTATTCTTTTAGCCTGTCGTTACACTATCTATATCTGTCATGCCAAAATGGCCATAAACCATAGTTTACCAATGGCAACCTTGCGCCATGTCTCTACTTCTTGTTGAATACATATGTCCTTGAACAAGAACTTCCAGCAGCTCCATGCTATTATACACGGATGAGCAACGAGATAATGGCTACAGATTAATTAGGGGCTTATAATATCTCATGGTAGCGTATTTACGGCATACTCACACTGGACTACTACAAGGTCCAGTGCATTAGTATGGTACAGGAGGGGATCCTATACTGTCTTAATTTGTCCCATGAACTAAAATATGCTTGTCAAGGGTGGATTTCTAAAAACAAAACTTGGTAATTGTTATGGTCCGCATCGGTCAAACATGAAAAATAATGATGTCATGTGAGGAAAATGATTTAATTCCAATATTGTCTTCATTTACAAGACATATTTATTAAACAAGTTAATATTTTCTTAGGGCAATTTAGTAATATCACACTAACTGTTAACTTTGATAAATGACGACATGGAAGGTCGGTGTAATTTTGGAAACCATAGAGGAGGTCCGTTTAATTTTCTCAAGCCTTAAGCGAGGTTAGTGCAACTTACCCTTCCAAAAGTTGTGGAGTTTTCCTCAACAAGCTACTCTCTCTCATCATGTGAGAGGATATTGTAGGCAAGATCTCCTATAAACCAAAATTTAGCCAAAAATTTGCAACTATATAACCAGAACACCCTCATACTTGTTCTTTTTATATGCACAAATAAATTGAGGGCACTAGTACAAGTCAAGAAGAGGCATCACCCACCATAAGAACTGTTTCAAAAGTCACCTTGCTCATGGCTTGCACTGCAACCAATAGTTTTAGTCACACTGGGTAAGGTTAAATTAAAGAAGTACTGCATTGCACAAACATTTCAAGAGTTCCAGATTGGCTTGAAATACAAGATTCCCATTATATGCACCGCATTTAATTTTTTTGTAAAGAAGTCTTCTCTCACTAACATATTTTCCAGTGTAGAAATAATGGGATGTGCTTGTATTAAAAAGCCAGTGAGAAAATCAGTATACAATCTTTAAATCTCTCAAATGTGGACAAATAATTATTAGCTCACTCAATGAGCCCTCATTATATCTTCTATAAATGCTACTCTCACTAAAAAATCTTATAAACAACCACAGAAGTTTAAAACCCAGTGTATATCCTGCCTAAGCAAAATGCAGGAGACTAAAGACACCTAACCTTTGTTCTTATTTTGCAAAATATGGCTGCTCTGAGCCTTGAACTCACTCCCTCAGAATTGTCAGTTTAAGTTCTACGGTTCTACCATTGCACCACGCAGTGTTCATTGTTCACTAAAAAGATTTTGGTTGACCATGAAAACAAAAGGAAAGTAATGACGTATTGAATATTAGTTAAAAACTTGAATACAAAATATCTATTGGGATAAACATCGATGTCAGAACTTTAAAAAGATATAAAAGAAGTGCAATTCAGAACTTTAGAGCACAATCAAATCCATTCTATTTCTCTTCTTTAATGACACAAGAATATACAAGGATTCATAAAATTCAGAAACTGGGGTTCAACCTTAGTAATTGTAGAAAACTAACCAAAAATAAAATAAAAAAGAACTACGCATACAAATTTATACCTGTTTTGCCTCGGGCGTAGAGGTCGCCTATTTGTCGAAGCAACAGATGAATATTGAGAAGAAGAGATTTCTTCAACTTCTACAGTAGATATAGAAGATGGCAGTGAAGATTAAATAGAAGCCATGCATGTTATAGACGATACAGGAAAAAAGTAAGTACTTGTTAAGAGAGAAAATGAAGCAATCACATATAGAATTGAACAAATATTTCTAATGAAAATACCTGCTGTTGGGCTATATTCAACCTCACCCAGTCCCATACTTCTGCTTAAAGACCTCACCTCCTGTATTCTCTGCATTCTATCTTCTTCATCTTGAATTTCATGCTGCCGCATCCTTATTTTTGCTTCTATAACTCGTTGTTCTTCCTAAGCACATGATAAATGTGAATATATTGCAAATTTAATATTCCGAAGCCAAGGCAATGATTCCAAAAGAAAATTAGAGAAAAACCAAACATTTTTGTGGCAAAGCAAATCTTACAATTTGCTCCATTCCCTTTTCCTCCTTTGTTTTCACCCCCCTATACTCCACAGCATAGTTCGACGTTTTACAGAAAGGACACCTTTGTACCGTTAAGGAACACTAGCATAGATGATAGAATACATAACTTGAAGAGGAAACAGACAGCAAGTGGAACAAGGTAGGTAAAAGTATAACACAAAAATATAAAAACATAGTTCACAGAAATCAAGGATGCTGTGTAGGGCGAGCTGAATTAGGGGTCTTCATCTGCAGAAAACACTCTGTTGCAAAAAGAACATATCAATAAGCATTCAAATTATTAAGAACTACATTAATCATAAAAGAAATGTGCATAGCAGATACCTGTACAAATGCCTTTCAAGCAACATCTTGAGCGATTGAGACTCGGGTAATACTGTAAGATTTTTAGCGGAAGATAAAAAAAATCAATTAGAAATTTATACTCCATACTCCATAAAACACAATTAAAACGCCATTCACCCCATCTGCTCCAATTTTACCAGGGCAAAAGAAAACAAGAACTGAATCAAAATTTTAATTTTCCATTGTTGTGGATCAACTCAAATATGTATTCCGCAATAACTGAAGATTCCGAAGTGAAATTTAATCGAACCCTGTATTTAAAAACATTTGGGTTCTGAAATAAAAGAATCAACCCAATTATGAGTTGAGCATTAACGGAGTAAAGTAGCTCTAATGAAAAAACAAAAATGATGGCGATAAATATAATAAAATAACATTAATATGATCTAACTAAGTTGTGCAATAACTAAAAATTAAAAATAATACTGAGTTGGAATTCAATTAGGAACCTTACATTAATTAAGATTGGGTCTGAATAGAAGAAAAAACTCAATTATACATTTAACAATCATCAAGGCAAATAACATTTATAAATAATAATAATAATAATAATAATATAACAAAAATTATAATGATCAAGGGAAATAACTGAATTTTAGATACTAATTTCATTTCCAGTTCCAAAATAAACGAATGTCCTGTGCAATAACCCCGCCTAAATGATTTCACTATCCCTCCCTCAATTTCTCAGAATCCAAACAGAGGCAAAAATCAAAACAATTCAAGTAAACAAAAGAATGAATTAAGAGCACGGACCAAGAAGCAAATAGGACATTCTTCAAGATCACAGGCACATTCCTCATCTCCAGGATAGCATGGGGCAAGCTTCGAATCGAGTATGAGCTTCCGAAGCTTCTTGTGATCCACATCCTTGTGTTGATACAACCCTTGCGGCCTCGTGTACTTGTCGTCCACCACTTGTCGCCTCCGGCTCAATTTATTCCCCATCGAATTATCAAACCGAATCAATTTACACCACCAACAACAAATATACAATCACAAAAACCCTAATTTTCATGTTACAACATATTCACAACACAAAACGATACATTTTCACTTCCGTAAACCACAAATTCACGTCAGGAACACATCGTCACATCCTGAAAAACAACCAAAACCAGAACAAGAAACTCAAAACAATTGATAAAAACAATTCCAAAAATTAAACAAAAAATCACTTCCTGAAAAAAGAAAATTGCATATACACGCACAACACTGAACTTCTAATAGAATCGACGAATAACAATTGCGTTGAAATGAGATTAGAATAACGAGCCTTGAATTCTTGGAAAAACGGCTATAAACGGAATCCGAGCGCTTACGAGTTTTAGAGAGAGAGAGAGAGAGAGAGAGAAAGAGAAGAGAATGAAGATCGAGAGATTTGTAGATGAGAAAAGGGAACAAGATCAGAACTTTCTCTGATGTTATATATATATACAAGCGAGTTTTGTATATATCCTCTTGTGTATTTATTTAATCGGTGTTTTTTGTTTTGTTTTGTTTTGTTTCTTTCGACCTCTGTGCTCTATCCGACGGAAAGTTTTATGTGAGAGAGATAGAAAAAAAAGCAGGGACGGTAGAGTAGTAGACCCGGAAAGAATCAAAAGGTTCAACGAAGTGACGAATGCTGTTCCTACTCGCTGATTGGACGCGTGTTGTCAATCGCGCTATAAAAATGGGTAAAACCGTAAAAAGAATCCTTTTGTTTTACTTTTACTTTTACTTTTACTTTTTAATTATGGCAATGACATTGCATATTAATAAGACAAAATTACCCTTCTAACTGTGCACAAGACCTTGTCCTACCTTTGTACATCTGAATCTACTTGACTGATTCCATCTCCCTTTTCAATTTGATACTTCTTGCAAGAACTAGCACCAGATGGCAAACAATCAAATCCAAATTTTACATATTCACACACACACACACACACACACAGGTTTAAGCATAGGATTTGTGGGAAAACTTTAGTTATGCTGTGTTTGTAACGAGGGAAAAGAATCAGAATAATTTTAATTCTTAAACTTCCCTCCACTTTCATTTTCCTTTTCTTTATTTTTATTTTTAATAAATTTTCATTTTCCTTTCTCTCTCTTCTTTGAAATTGTTTTCTCTTTTATTTTCCTTCTAATTAATATTCCCTTATTTTCTCATATTGTTATTGCTCCTAATTGATGTGCATGTTATGTGGAGTGTTGTGTAGAGGAAGAGAAATTTTACGGCGTTTTCTCTTTTAAATTAACAAATGTGACAAGTCGGAATTCAAAAGAAAAATCAAAAAAAAATTTCGATACCTTTATACACGCAAGACTAACACTAGATAATAAACCAAGCATTACAACTACTCACTCAAGATCGAAAGAGTTTCGTTTTAATTATAAAATAAACCATTTTAATTTATAGAATGAAATGTATATTATACATTGGTGTATGTACATGTATTGAACATGAAATGTATGTATGATTTAATAGACAGGAAATATAATAGATTCAGTCTCTTTTATTAAATCACTTTTATTTATCTAAGTCAAGGTCCTAATGCATTTAAATAATGAAGTGAAATAAAAAGGAGAGTCCCCCATCGTGTCAACCAATTCATGGAATCCATCTATGATTGGAGCGTACTATATTAACAATTTATAATTTCTGCTTCCATATGTGATTTGTCTAAAGTGAATATATGTGGTCCATGGACTAGTTGCTTTTGTTGAGATTTGTGTTGGTTGGACTAGTATATCAAACCGTAAAATTTGTTGACCAAATGTATGTTATGTGACTTAGTGTCTATAGGTTTATGCATAGCTAAACTAGTACAAGAGAAATTTATCAAGATTAGTTATCATGCATCAAAGATCCAACAGTGAAGATCCCATGAATACAGGACGATGATATATATGTGTGTGTGTGTGTATATATATATAATGATATTTTATTACTGTGAACAAACAGTGTGGGTGGGGCGTTGGTTTAATAGTGTGAGAGTGGTGTTTGGTTCACCAACTTGGTTGGGGGAGGGTGAGTTATGGTACTACATTGTTGGGCTTTAATGAGGCTGACTCGTTCCTAATAAAACCTAACCACAGTAACCTCTAATGTCACTTTTATAATAGAAATGATCTCGTAGTTCCCTTTTGAAAGGTTTGCGCACGGACAGGCTCGTTTTGGTGCACAAGTACGAAGCTTAACGCAGGTCTTTTATTTGGACACTACACGACCTGTTTTGTATTCTATGTTAATGATCCAAAATGGTTAATGCAACAAAATGGCAATGTTTTGATGATGAGAGGGATCCTGGTCCCTCTTGAAAAATGGACGTATAGCAAGATGGAGGTAGGTACATTCATGTGTACCTTCTTTTCTCTCTTATAGGCAAGAAAGCTCAAAAGTCATCCCGATAATTAATTTATCCATTTGTAAGCTTTGTTTGTTTTGGGAAATGGAGGTCTAGCAGGGGGTACATTCGTTGCATTTGCAGATTTCAAGAAGTAAATAGTTGAACTTAAATGTTTACACAGTTGAATTTAAGAACAAAAAATTTACACCCTTTTTTCTTCTTTTTTGTTGTTATTTACTTACCTAAAAAAAAAATTGGGGAAACATGAGGCCAATGTCTCCCACTTTTGAGATTATAGTCTTACACATATATTGTTCTTAAATCACAAAGTAATTACTTTGACTCAAAGTTCGGGACAACCTTCCTATCACGTATGCAACACACACACAAATCTAATCTCTCTCCTAATCTCTTTCTTATTGTAAGATCTTGGGTATTTATGCGTCTTTTAACTTAAAAGTTTAAGCTGTTAAGTAGTATTGTATATTCCATTATATATATATATATATATATATATATATATATATATGCCATATTCATTTTTATTGGATCGATCTTACGTGTGGGATGAGTCCTCTAACACTTGTCCTCTTCACAAAGGGACCAATGGAAAAGGAATTTGAACTTTAATTATCCAACGTGAATGATCTTTGGCTGCTTATGTTAATCGTTATTATTATATATATAAGAGGGAATTAAGAAGGATAAAGAGAGGAAAAGCTTACAAAGTAACAAATCCAAGTGCATGTAGAATTGAATTTTATAGGTATAAACTTAATATATGTATAAACCATATATGGATCACCAATTAACTACAAATAAAGAATGAAAGAACATGAAAATACAATAAATATATGCACACAAATAAATCTAATTATCAGCACAGAGGCGATAAAGCTCATCAAAAGGAGGGAGCTCCTTGAGCAATCTATCAAAGTCCTTGAACGAAACTCCTCTTGAGAAAACCGAATTACCAGTAGGCATGGGCTGATCTACGCGAGACACCGCCGACCTCCGATTCAAGGCCGATTCCGGCCGCTTGCATTCTATCGTGGAGTCTTTGCCGGTGAGCCTCTGAACCACAGACTTGAAGTTCCCGGCGTCGGTTTCCACGTACTCGGTGTTTATGATCACTACCTTCATGGGCCGGTGTTGTGATCTGTTGCCTCTTGACATAATGAATATGAATTTATATAAATGATGGAAGAGCCAGAAAATGTGAAAAGGTACTCTAATTCGGGGACAAGAAGTAACCTTTTTTTTTTCGTTTTTTGGTGTGTTTTATGGGTTTTTGAAAATTGAATGTGTGTATGAAAAATATAAATATGATTTGTGTAAGATTGGTGGATTTTATATTAGTTTGGCGAGACATGTACGTACGGTATGGTTGGCAGTTAAGAAATGGAGGCGCTGATGAGATGAGTTGACCGTTTCGAGGCAGTCTAGAAGGACGTTTTAGTTTATTGGATTCAGTCAAACCACGCAATTCTGAAAATTAATTCTCATGCAAGTTACTTGAAGCTTCATCCCACTTGTAAAAAGTCCAACCACGCTTCATTACTGTGTGTAATCACTACACACAGTAATGTGTGTATATGCATATATATACATTTGTATATACAGGGTTTTGTTTTTGTGGGCGTTGTATGTCTTGAGCGGTCCCTGTCATGAGTTGTAAATTTTTGGTGCTCAATTCGGCAAGTGGTTGTTTGTTTTGAATTAGCAGGATTGAGAAAAGGGTCAAAACCATGTGTCGGCCTTGAAATTCAAGATATTATCTTTGAATTTATTCCATCGAATTTCAATTAAAATTATGAACAAAGGATATGAAAAACATGAGAATGTCTACCTCGTTATATGTTGAAATTTCATTAAAAAAAACTCAGTTATATATATATATATAAAGAATCTGTAAAAAGCTAAGAACCTAACCTTTAATTTGATGGGGAAAATTATAATTTCTTTTTCTTTTTCTTTTTTCAGGGGCCAACAAAATTGTTAAAGATGACATGTGGCTTTTCCACAATCAATAACTAAAGAATCCTAATATAATACAATTTTTTATTATTATTTAATAATAAGACTAGCATGTTATTTTGACTCAAAAAGATCAAAAGCTAAAAACTGCGTAGTAGTAGTAAACATTTTCCTAACTTGATCCATTGCTTGTACGGCAAATAAAGAAAGCTGATTTGTTCCGAGTCATGTTGGAAGCATGTGCATAAAATTTGGGTCCACGTACACGTGATTCAACATTCATACTGCGTCTCACTCTATTAAGTCCCTATCTCTGCACTCCACCTTACCTGCTTAAGCATGCATCCTATCTAGTTGCATTGCATCTTACTCATTATACACCTACTGTGTGTGTACATATATTTATATATTTAAGGAAAATATCGTGATTTTGAATGAACCGACTTAATCTCATCACATGGACTGAAATAAAGCTCCGTGGTTTTGGATTAGGTTTCACCAACTTTTTTTTTTAGGAATTTTAAGCCACTGTATAATAATAATGAGAATGTACAATTTGGGTCATAAGGCCAAACAACCCAAAAGGGATACAAGCCCACTTAAGGGACATAACCTGGAAAGAAAACCAACCCAAAAAGCCCACTTAAGGGACCAAACCCGGAAAAAAATCCAACCCAAACATTAGACAGTGACAATAACCAACCAAATTACTTGAGGACGTTAATGGTAGTTACTGTGAAGACATTCCGGTGAAGAAACAATTGTCGGTAAGAGCTCCGACCACGATCTTTAATCTGGAGACCGAGGAGGTGGGTGGCAACAAGAGGGGGAAATATTCCAGTCGACAAAGATCCTTCTTGTGGTATTGCAATTCTGAAGGCAACTAAGTCTGAGGATTGAGGAGATGGTCGAACAAACCCTAGTTAAGACTATTTTTTGAGAAGATCTATTCTTCTTAAAGATTCTTTCATTTCTCTCTTTCCATAAATGGTAGACAAGAGAAGAGAGACAAACTTTCCGAAGGAGATTTGGGACGGATTTTGATTTCCACCTGACACTAATGAACTGGACAAGCTCTTCCCAGTTTGAGATTGATGTGTAAATTTGACATTTGTCTTTGATGAAACGCCAGAGTGGAGAAGAGAAGCAGCAGTTGAAGAATAAGTGGGTATGTGATTCAAGGTAGACTTGGCAGAGAGGGCAAACATTTTCATAATGAGCCATTGATTTGCAATCTAATGTTGGAAGTCTGGATTGGACTACGAGCCAAAGATTAACCTTCATTCTTGGGATTATAGGAGATTGCCACACCAAGTTGATGTTGGGAAACGTGCAAGTTTTAAAAACTTTTCGAGGGATTTTCTTTCACAGATCTTGATTCATCACATAGAGACAAGTTTTATACAAAAATAAAATATGATCTATCATTCAATTAAAAGATTGAATACTTACATCAATGTTTGAGTAAACCTTAAATCTCTCCTCTAAAGTGAATGTTCTCACTTATTGTAGATCCCTTTTGCTAGACACCTTTTCCATGGATCTCCATCTTCTTGGTAATTGTTTTGCCTTTAGGAATCACTCATAAGCCTCCATGAATGACCTTGGAAAACTAAACTTGTGGGAGCCTCCATTAGATGAGAACATAAACCCTAATTTTCTAGAGAGAGAAAATATTTATTCCTTTTTCCTTCTACTAAAAATCACCCCTCCCAAATATACATAGACCATGTATATTTATAGGCAACATAAAAATAAAGAAAATGAAACAACAAATCCTTCTCCATCTGTAATTCATATGTCTCAAATCTAATATGATTCCAATATCAAGTTGGGCTATGAGTGAGAATCCATTGGGCCTATTATTTTATTGGCTACAATGAATTAATAATTGGCCCGGTCCATGGACCCAATTCAATTAATTCATAAATTAATTTCTACTCCACTAAAAGAAATTAATTGAACTCCAATTAAATAATAAATAACCTCTAAGTCAATATTGCATTTTGACCCCTCTATGCATAATTAGTTATCGGATAAATAAAGCCATCAATCCGACTACTTAATTAATATATCTATTTTGGTACCTCTGATTATTTCTGGCTCGATCACAATAAAACATTTGTTTGACAAAAATAATAATTTAAATAAATAAATATATAATAAATCATTTTGTCTAAAAACACACGAAGGCCTTCGAATTTACTTTGTGATCAACCATAATCAATACAAAATAAATACAAGTAGCAATGATGCAAATATTGAAAATATAACCCTCTAACTATTAATTACATAACTACCCAAAGTGTCGGTCTAAGAATCCCGAAGAATCCGCCGAACAAATCAAAGTAATTATTAATTAATTAATGAGTCTATACTTTTCTCATGCTTAAGAGTCAAATGCCATGACGGTGATAGGGAGTAATTGCATACGACGGCTCTCGCAATATATCTCAACCTAACGCGAATCCAGTTCAAGTCTTAATTAATTATGAGTCCATCCATAATTACCGACTATGAACAATTTATAATTACTATTTATATATCATGCATTGATTGCCATCACATACATATATATAAATATTTCTTGTAATTACATGGACACTATCAATTTCATAGTGAATCGAAACATAATACATTGAATTCACCAATTATATAAATCATAAATATTTCAGATATGTCAGGAACATATGTCACTATAATCCAGATAAGAATTTGCTATGCCAGGGCATATAAATCCCAACAGCTCCCACTTGCCCTCATAGCCAATTCAAATTGCACCTAACTCCAATGTTATCCAGATGATGATCAAAATTATTGATCAATGACACCTTTGATAATGGATCAACAAAGTTGTATTCCAATGCAATGTTCTAACTACAAGTGCATTTTCTTGCCGGACAATATCATGTAGAACATGATACTTCCTCTCAGTGTATCTTGTTCCTCTATGGAACCTTGGGTCATTGGTTTGGACTACTTCTACACTATTGTCACAACATAACTCAATAGGCAGGCTAGTATACTCCACAACCTCTAAATCAGTGAGATCAAACTAATAGGCTTCCTTTGCCGCCTTTAAGGCTACAATATATTCCACCTACAGGTTTGAGTCAGCAGTTAAAATCTGCTTAACAATCTACCAACTGATCTCCCTTCCATTAAGTGAACATACACTAAGTCATGAACCTCATAGTATCTACTTTTGATTAAAAATCAGAACTAGCATACCTGACTAGGGCCATAGCATCACATCCATAAATGAGTATGATATCCTTGGTCCTTCTTAGGTACTTAATGATATTTTTCACAACAGACAAGTTATCAAGTCCAGTATTGGACTGATCTCTACTGACTATCCCTACTATGTAGCGGATGTCCTGTTTGGTATAGACCATGGCATATATGAGACTCTCATATGCCGAAACATATTGTTCCAGTCTCATTTGCTCAATCTCCTTTGATAGTCTTGAAAAATTACTTACTAGAGAGAGCCATCCATATCAATAAAGCAAGAACTCATTCTTTGAGTTATGCATACCAAACCTAGTCAAAACTTTATCAATGTAGGATTATTAAGTAATTGAACAACTACCTCTTTATTGATGACAAAACTTTCACATCATTCTAAATGAGTAGGATGTCATCAATATATATAAAATTAGAAAAATAATGACATTCCCTTGTACACTCATGATTTATTCACTAAGAAATCTTCTGGTATCTTATTGTAGATTAACTTGCCTTCCATAGGAATCACCCTACTAGAAAGTTCTACAAGATCCCAGTATTTATTAGAATACATAGATTCTAACTCTGATTTCATAATAACTCACCAAAACGATCTGTATCCACATCGGTTCACGCTATCGTGTAACTTACTGGGTCCAACTCATGTTTAACAGGGATGTCCATAATGGTCTCACCTAAAAACATGATTCTGTCGAATTAGATGATAATCCTCCCACTACATCAATGTACCGATGCAAGAATCTGTGTAGTTGATGATGCTAACGCATCAATAGGGAATTCATATATTATTCTCAATCTCTATAATAAGTGTGTTCACATGTGATACATCCGATACTCATACCAAATTCTCTAACATTATGCTACTAGGTATGTGATTCATAATATTATTCTCCTATAGATAAACAGTGAATGAA